CTTAACCTGTTGCAACGAATCAAAACATCATTTGGCTGCTGTCCGTGCAAACTTTATGTAGAACAATCGCTCTTATTCTCTTTATTTTTAAAAAAGATAAACTTCAATGTCGGCATGTTAATGGATGTTCTTACATTTAGATGAGTGACCGTGATTGCTGAATATTTACAAAGCGAGACTGTTGTAGATTTTTTATATGTCACCTGCTTTTGTAACGTGTACGCGTGGATACTAATAAAGTATCAGTTGCATTTTGTCTTTCTTGTGGTTTTTACTCCGCTACTATAAGGCCTCTTGTCAATTCCTTTTACCATGTCTCATGATTATTGTATTGTTGAAGTCTGCATTTCTTTTTTCTGTACAACTGTTCTTTGCAGCGCTTCACTAACGCTGCACAGCGCTGCATAAAAGCTGTTTATCGACCGTATGGCCTCATGTGGCTATTTTTTTGCATCTTTACGGCAGCGCTCCTGCAGCTCTCAGTGTCGCTACCGCAGCGTTAACGCAGTCACAAAAATGCACTGCTGCAGCGAACGGAAAACAGCGTTCGTGCAACCTTTCTGCAGCGCTCGTTGCAGCGCTAATAAGTCGCTAAAGCAGCGCTGTTTTAACGTCTTCTGTATCGTACGGGTATCCATGTACATATAGTAAATAGTATGGCCTGAGTCAATGAAGATTGCTTTTAAAACTTTTCTTCTTGCAAACATTTTTGAATTTATCTTACCATCTTGGTGAAGATTGTAGCCCCTTTTCCTTGCAGAATGCATACAAATTCCTGGGCTCCCTGAGCTTTGGAACCTAAGGCAAATGAAATGCAATTTAGTTTCAGGTGCCTGAAGACTGTCAGAAGCTAACTAGGGTACCAGCCCATATTGCACAGTTAGACCAGCATGAAGAATCTTTTACCACATGTACTAGCAACATAAAAGGTGGATTTGTAGATCACTAGCTTTTCTATATTACCCAAATTATAGCAGGCTATGGACTACTGCCCCTCCTTTCACCTTTTAGCTTTTCTTGCTCCATTATACTGTGAATTATTATCAACATATCAGTAAGGTACTCATAGTTAGTATTTTCCATTAAAATCATTTTTGTGTTACTGTCATTTAATAGCTGCTTGCATACCACAATGGTTCCCAATCACTGTAGTTTTCAAGGTTAACAGCACTCGCTGTGCCCCAATGGCTAAGGACCTTCATTGACCTTCTAACACACCGTCAACTCTCAAGCTCATTGATTACAACAAGTCAGTAAGGTTAAACGCATAATTGACGGAGTGCTTGGAACAAAGCTCAAAGTAACTTTTAGAACTGAGTAACTGGTAACTTCCCCTACCAATCTGCATCATATGTGCTTATGAAGCATATACAATGTAGAAAAGAAAGAATGTGATGCTACAATCAGTGACAAAATTAGTTCTGACAGTTCGCTCTAAGGGGCTTTCTGATGCTTTACTGACTTCCAGAGGGGAAAATACAGCTTTTCCTCTCCCATCCCCTCCATGCAACACTGTGCTGCTGTTCAAGCTACCTATAGAAAACAACAAACACCCCAACTTTGAATGAAGGGGAGGGGACAGGGGTGTGGATTCTTTTGTTCTCTGTAGTTACCCTATTTGAGTACATGTCTCAACAATTTTGTCACTAATTGTCTGAATTGCAAAGTGACCATACATGCTAAAGAAAACTAATTCAACTCATTTATTATCGCTGGGATATAAAACCCTTGGTGGCACTTTTTTTAGTTATGATTGACGTAATCATGCCCATTTCAAAACATTATTAGAATATGGCTATTTCATTATTTTCAGTGCGACATGACAGTTTCATGTCACACTTAACATGCCTTGACATCATGCAATGTGACGTGTCCCACAAAATTTCTTATTCTTTCCTTTATCGAAACAAGGAACAAAGTAAAAAAGACAGAAAACAAAATAGTTGCGGATTCTTTTGTTCTCTTTAGTTACCCTGTTTGAGTACACTGATGTCCCAACAATTTTGTTGCCGATATTAGATCAGCAATCACTTAGGGCCTTATTCCACATACACTGTAAGACCCTTCCTCTCCATTGACATCACATGTTTAGTGGATTGGTATAATAAATATAACAGTAAACAGTTAAAGAAAACCATATGGGGGGTAAAACTCACTAACCTTTTTTCCACCTTGATAACTGAAGACCAGCTGTGTTGATCGAAACTCCTTGTCAAACAATTTCAAGTCTAATACAGTGTAGACAATTAAATTGTTAGTGTTCAGATTATACATTACTGTAGATTACAATTTAATTATGAAAAAACGGTTTAAATATATTATTTCACAAGCATTGAAGCTTAATAGACACTGTCTTCTAACTGTTACTAGTCTCCATTGAGTTGTGAAGAAGCAAGGTTTTTTTTCTCAAAGGAAAAAACAAATCAAAGCAACAGGTCACCACATAAAGTTTTTATTACTTTAAGCAATGATCATGCTTGTTTTACCTACCTGATCAGTTGCTATAATTTTTTTTTTGCAACTAATCAGGAAGATGCGTCTTGCGAGACTTACCAGCTGGGATAAAAGGAGGAACTGTTGATGAAGAACCTCTGTTGCTGACTTCGTTATTTTCATCACTTTGTGAGCTATCATGGAACACTTTGTCTTTCATCGGTTCCTGGAAATTCTACCAACCAAGACCGTTTTGCGAACGTTGTCACGCGTGTATAAACAGACGGGAGTCATCAGCTCGATAAACTACACCATTACAGGAGAAAAGCTGTTGAGGAAGATAAGCAAGTATCAGGTTTTGAAATAATTAACGTCAAGTAGGTACTTAAGCTTATTAAACGCAGAAAAGTAATCATAGATGAGCAAGAAAAACAATGGCGGTAATCACTTTCACTTCGTGACTTCTTCTTGCATGATTCTCCTTGTAGCCGTCCTAAAATTAATACTGTCCGTGATAAAGCTGACAGCTCCTCATGAATTTATAAAAACTGATGATTTTGAGTGAAGATCAAGCTTAACACATGCTAGCAGTGACAATTTGAACACAAATAACAAAAGTGAATCGCCGCGGAGACAGAAAGTTCGGCCCCAGGTTACCCTCGGGCAGTTATACGTCCTCTTCATTAGGGGTGGAGGAGGTGGAGGGGTTGTGGAGGGGCGGGGGGAGAGGAGGGGAGCGAGTTTTGGGCTGTGATTGCTGATATAATACATAAATTCATCAGGCACTTTATACACCTTAGCTGTTTTCTTGTAAGAAAAGAGCGACAAAAAATAATAATAATAAAAACGTTTCCACAGGTTAACCAGACTTTTGTTGGCCATTGGAATACATTAAAGGAGGGGCCAAAAAGCCACTGAATTTTTGTACATAAATCACCCACAAAGTCTTACTTAGGCACTGAAAATTTCTGCTGAGACTTTCTGCGGTTCTTGCAAAAGCAACTGTTGACACTGTAATGTGGAAGGTTTAAGTCAGTGCTGTCAACTCTCCCAGATAATCCGGGAGATTCTCGATTTTGAACCGTTTCTCCCGGTCTCCAGATTAGAGTCTGAATTCTCCCAGATAATTGCCGAAGTTTGCAATTTCTTGTAGATTCGACTTTATGACAATGAAATTTCAAATATTTTCGTTGTTTCAGCTATTTATAAACTTTTAATATTGAACGTTTCCTCAGAAGACCAAAAGAAACTCCGGTATGCCATTGAAATACAAGCAAGAATGTGATTGGTGGGAAGTAAACCAATCAGGTCAAATGAGACAATTCCAACAACATCTTTTCCACCTTTCTTTGAGCACTAATTACATGTACGTCACGTTTCGTGCATAATGATGACATCAAGTGTTGATCCCTGCCATTTTGTACTCAATTTTTATTGACTACATATAAGGCAGAACACCTCTCCCGGTCGGTTGGTCCCAGTGGTGTCCATCTTAGAAAGAGCTGATCGTATAAATAGCTGTGCATAGTGAATTGTAGCTTATGTTCATGATTTTTTTAACATTTTATTTCTATGTTTATCTAAGATAGTTAAGGACTGATGTATATACCATAAATTATATAGAGGATATTACACGGTGGCGCAAAGATATGAATTTTATTTTCGAGCGGCAAAACAATATTTTACGAACGAGCCCAGTGAGTGAGTAAAATATTGTTTTTGCCACAAGAAAATAAAATTCATATCTTCAAGCCGCCGTGTAATGTTCTTTTTATTATATAGACAAAATGACATCGATAAGATATTAGAGGGAAATTACCAAAATTACGTCATCGATAAACTCACGTGTGAGATTATGGAAAATAAACCACTCGGGTCCCGGATGTAGTTGTTTTTATGAATTTTTTGAGTGGTATATTTTCCAGTAAAACACTCGTGTCTATATAATAAATATTTATATTTATAACAACATAGCTCTCCTTTTTTCTTCTGTTAGTTTTCTACAAATAAATATATTCACCATTATAAACATTTTTTCCACTTAAATTGCATGTAATATGCACTCTATATTATTCTCCTCCAACTTTCCTTGATTGCTTGCGTGCTGCCAGTTTAATGAGTTCTTGATCAGGAGTTTCATATGCAAGAATAACTTCATCCCGTTTGTTTACAGGAGTTACTAATTGAGGGGTTTGAAAAAGAAAATGAGCCCTCTGTAGTTCTTTAAGTCTGAGTCTTTGTGATCTCCTACAAGATAATTCTCTCAGTGAATCAGCGTTTTTTCCTTCTGTTTCTGTGAGTTGCTTCTCGTTTTCAAATTGCAAAATTTCAAACAAATGTTTAGCTGAACTTGTTTCCTTGCCTGTGCCCTTTGTTCCTTTGGCATTTTTCGTTTTACCTCTGCCTGATTTCTTCCTTGGCCCTAGTAGAGCCAAAAGGGTTTCATCACCCTCCAACTGTGTTGGAAACTGAGGAGATACCTGCAAAAAAGAGTTGATCAAACTATATGAAGCATATTCAAGGAAGTTTCCCTGGGAGGAAATGAGTAATTGCCGGTGAAAGGCTAATGAAGATATGCCACTGGATGGGGTCGCATTTTCACAACAGGAGTGACTATAATGGGGTTGCATTTTCAATAGAGTAAGTAGAATGGGGTCACACCTTTTTAAGATTAATTTGGGGAGCAGGAAGATTCTTGTAAGTTGGGATTGAAAAATGGGAAGACTCATGGTTAAAAAAGTGACAGAAAGTATTAAACTACGTTGGGATTGTGAAAATTACCAAGATTTAACCAAAAGTAAGTAAGATGGGGTCTATAATTCAGGCCATAGCAGATCTGATAATGGAGTAAATATCCAGAAAAAATTGACCCAAGTACCTCCCCCATGGTAGTTTCTTTAAATGGTTCCCAGACCTGACAGCCCCACGTTTTTACCTAGTAAGCTGTAGACAATCTCCATAGCATTTTTTTTTTCAATCTTACTGCCTCATTGGCTGGAAGTCTAGGTCTCAGTTACCTCAAGTGGTGTATTTGAAATATTGGAAGGGTGAGGTGGTGGTACTCCCAATGTCAACTGATGGATATGATCAAAGGATTTTTTGGGGGTTTAAAATTTGATCCGGGGATTTTTTTGGGTAGGAATATTTGATAAGGATCCTTTTGGGTGGCTTGATTTATGTAAGGATTTTTTGGGGTATTCAGAACAATCTGAAGACTCATGGTAGTGCCCATGTATATATCCTTGAGCGTAGTTCTCCAAATAAGGTACAACCAAACTTGTTTTCCAGCTAAAATTTTTTAAACGCATTACATAGTATCTGTTTCATGAAATGCATTATATACAAGTGAACAATAGTCTGCAAAGTCCCAGGGTGTATACAACACTTCAATTCATTGATGTCTCATTTATAAATTGCATTTATTGCCTGGCTTTTAATATCGTCACTGGAATATTCTCTTTTGTTGTAGTAAATTCTTGATCGCTCTCACTTTTGACTCATTGGCTTAAAATGTGAGGTTCCCTGGAACATTCACTTTTCCTTTTATGCTTTCTGGAAATTATTACAGGCTCCGAAATTCGGCATGGCATTTTTGGGGTGTTTAATCTTTGGTCCAGGGATTTCTTTGAGTTTTGTTGGAAGCCCTACGGATTTTTGGGGGTTTCAGTTTTTGCCCCTATTCAATCATCCCCATCACTTGAAATTCGGAGTACCCCAAACACCCCTCACCCTTCCCCTAGGATGCAGACTCCCACTTCTAGTTATAGACATAAGCTTCTGTCATAAATAGAGACATCCATGAGGGTAACTGGAAATCAATGGAGAGCCCGATCACACGAGCTTTCCATATTGTGCTCTAAACGAGAGAAGAGATAAGAGCGCCGCTGAAACTGACCTAATCACCGGTGCAGAATATGTGAACTTAATTAAGCTTATATCATATCAGACACCCGGAGGGGACTTTTGATCGGAGAGCTAGCATACCCATTTCTTCGCTTCTTCGTCATCTACAGGGAAGGATTCCGCCATAAAAGGTCTTCGAGCGGCTTGAACAGGAGTGCAATAGTATTTACGGCCATCCAGAGGGCTTTCAATAAAATCTAACGGTGGTTTTAGATGCGTCGTCGAATCTTTCCGCTTGCGTCTCTTTTTACGATCTCGTTCCGCCATCTTTGAAGTTCAAAAATTCTGCCACTCATGATATGACCGCTGTATCAAAAGAGCAAGGGCTCAAAATTCACCGCTGACCAGCGAGGGGCTACTTCCGGTCTTGAGGTCCGTACAAAGCTGGTAGCAGATCTTTCCGAATCTTTGTCTTTGCAATGTCTTTTCTTCATTACATTACCTTCAAGCTGGTTGTAATAAGGGATAAAAGAATTGGCTCGATATACTACACTTTGGCAGCTGTCATCGTCCTCTACACTCTGGCCGAAATATTTCTTAAGAAAGGTTATCTGGAGGTGAGAATAGTTGAATCGAAACAGTACTACATATATGTATCATTCTAGAATATTGCTTCCTTTCATTTCTAGTTTTTACAAAGAAAAAAAGAGAAGAGAATTCTGGTTTTGTAAGATGTTGAACTGTGCAAGTCACTTTCCGCTAACGTTTTATTACCCTAAAGAGAAACCATATTTCATCATTGCATTATCATCATCATCCTGATCATGATCACCATCATCATCATCATCAACATCGTCATCATCATCATTGTCATCATCAATGTCTTTGCTGTCGTCAACACCATCATCCTGGCTTCCATTTTTGTCATCATCGCCATTACACAGTATAACTGTATTTTGAATATTATGGGATGTTAATTTTTTAATTTTTTATCTGCACTCTTCCCTCCCTTCTCAGCCACACCTTTGTCAGAACAGTCCAACAAATAAACCTTTGTACAAGTTTTCATTCCTGTAGCATGTTTCATTTTGAAAATACAGCAATTTGAACTTCCTAGTTTTCACAGTGCATGACACCAAAAAAGGAATGCTTTCTCGTTGAAAAACAGTCTCTCCTCTTGGTTTTCAGCAGTATAACCATTTCAAGTATTAGAAGATATGTTTATGTGCACGTGTGCTGGTTCTCAAGGGAAAGAAAGAGCTTTTATAAAAAAAACGATCTCCAGAAGTTTTTGTTGATTTCCGGCAGCCATATTTGTGGACCAAAATGGTACACCAATATGGCATCTCCATACAAAGCTCTACAAATGTGTGTGGGGCGTTTTGGCAAATAACTCAGAAGCTGTGTGCCAGAAAGACCTGAGACTTGGGCAAATTGTTTATATATTAGTCTTTTATAACATTTCATTTTATTGACTTCTTCCACTGGACGGTTTCCAATACTTTTTTGTTTCGTGACAGTGAAAATGATCTATACTGAACTCCCCTTTTCAAAAACCTACAGTCCTAATATGGGAAGGGTAGATGCAGATGCCTGTATGTGTATAAGATAATATAGCTTCCTTATCTAGGGGTGTAACATCCATATCTGACTTATAACTATATATAATAATTCTGATAATTTGCGTCTCTGGCCTTTTTTTTCCGTAAAAACTGTACCTTACCAACAACATTATGTGTAAAATAAACAACTTATAACTACTGTGTATTCCTGTGTATTAATTTGCGGAAAATGTCCTGCAGAAAAGGCTGGACATGGCATTTCCAAGACCCTAAATTTCAGAATTTTCTGGGGGAGCATGCCCCCATACCCTGTGAGGTTGGGCTGCCTTTGGCTCTACAACTTTTCTTCCCTGCATGCGTACACCTTCAATATCTCATGCTACGCCCCTGCCATCATTATCATCAGTTCCACTATTATTATCATGATCGTGAATCACTTCATTATCATTATATTGCTAATAATAGTGTCATGAGTACTACCATAAAAGTTACCATTACTATTACACCTGTTGTTTGGGAAAAGGAAAACAGTCAATAAAAATTATGGTTGTTTCAATATTCTAGTCAAATTTTGCAGATCCTGCTGTCTCCATTTTAAAACACTGAATGAATATCTTGAAGTCTTGATTATTTTTTACCACAGCTAAAATTTTAGAACTCAATCAGACCTGACACTGGACACTGATTTTGTTCTTATTCTGAAATTTGGTTTTAGTTTGATACATCACCAGAAGCCACTATGAGATTCCTTCTCTCAGACCCTAAGGAGGATGATGCAAGCAATAGTGAACAGACATCTCGGATGAGCAATTTAAGCTACTGTTGTACCAAAGGTGTGGTATACTAAATCTATAAAATGCAGTACTGCATTGCCATTTGACATGCTGCATCATACTCATCAGTACAAGTGTCCATATAATCTCTACATACATGTACATGTTGACTCAGAGGTCCATGTATTGGCTACTATTATTTTTTTTATAGCAAACAGTAGTTAACTGCCATTAACCCATGACAGGGTAAAAGTTGTTCTTTAATAGACACAGACTTACATTGCATGACTTTAACCTGATACCTTGAATTATATAATATAGTACATAGCAAAAAGTTCATCACCGGAATCAGATCAAGAATGGCTATTTCAATTTGGAACAGCTCAGCCATTCTTCCTGCCCGACTCAGCGAGGATGTTTTCCTTTGGAAAAAGACATTCAAATGCCAAACTTGTGATGTACTAACTAATTACAAATGGAATGGAAGAATAATTCTTCCATTCCATTTATAATTTAGTTAGTTATTGATTATGGAAAACTAAATATGATATAATTTGTGCATCACATGCTTCTAATTTATCATACTTTTCATCAAAATATTTTGCCATTTCTGATTGGCTCCAGTCCGCTTGCTAATTCTTCATAACCAACAGGCACTAACCATATTTGGAAGATGTGAGCAATATACCAACAATTCAATGGTATAATTATTTGATTGGAAATGAGACTGCATAAGCAATAGACTATCGATCAACTTCATTTCCAGGAGTTGCCACCAAGCGGTTTATTCATGAGTTAACTAAAAAAATGGCATTCATGGCTATCCGACAAAGAAATAGCTGAATGTCTGACTAAAAGTAGATGGAAAAATTCCAAGAATACGCAAAACATATTGCTCAATGGATCTTATCTACCTTCAGCAGAGGCCTTCAGCCTTAGTGGATAACATCCTACTCAGCCTCATTCAATAATATTATTGCTAAATATCATATTGCCTACAGAAAACTTTGAAAGGCACGTGATAATTAAATAGAGCTTTTCAAAACCACTTCAGAGACGATTGAGAGACAAACTCTCACCTCACCTCTCAAAATAATACTTTCATCTCGCAAGAGACATTAAAATTATTGTTTTGCAAAGTATGTGTTTATAACAACCTTGACTACTAAGTTTAAAATATCAAACAACAGGGATAGATTACTCTGACGTATTTGGGTCAGTCAAAAAAAATAATGGCTTATAAATAATTGTTTTGTACCCGACATATGGCAAATGACAAATTTTAGGTGAACCAACCAAGATGTGTACACCGTGCCAGGTTTTGGATGCTCGAGAATTGTCGTGGCCAGTAGAGTCTCGCACAATCAGTTTAACGACGTTTGCAAAAGATCGATGGCAAACAAGAAACACCTCTCTGGACATTATTTCAGAGTTTAAAACAGTAAGGTACCAGTAACTTAAATTGTTGATCTACACACCGTTCTTTTTACAGCTAAAGACAATAAGCTAAAGTGTGGGGGTAACTGGCAATTTTCTCTATACGTTTATACTCTTGATCAGGCATCATTTTAAAGAGAGTTTGTTAAATTCACAGTTAATTATTATGATGGTTAGCAAATTTCGTAAACACTTGTAATGGAATTTTAAACACTTTGCAGGAATTTTATGGATTTCAAACAAAGGTCTAGCTTGTTTCTTGTTTTCTCGGCCTTTGTCACGGTCTACCATTTACCACCCTTAATAATATTATTTGTTTCCATAAAATATCCTTACCTGCATACCTTGGAATGTCATTTGAAATTTCAAGTAATAATTAGAGGAAGGGGGAGGGGCTGAGGACCAAAGTTTTTAAAGGAAAGTAATATACAGTTGAACCTCCATGTGCAACCACCTCCCATAAGCGACCGCCAATCCAAAACACCAAAATTTTCGCAGTTAAAACGTTACAGTTGGAACCTCTAGTAAACGACCACCTCCTGTAAGTGACCGCGAATACTTTTGGAGCCTGACAGTTAATGATTTTCCATTGTTTTTAATCTCTTGTAAGCGACCACCTGACGCATTCTGTGATCCCTATGTCCGCTGTGTGCACTATGCTACTAAGAATATACGAAGAACTTTAGTGACAACATGGAACTACACATGGCGTAACTTTAAAGACATTCATTGCATGTAATGAATATCTTCCATTAAGTAGATTTGTCTAGACTTCTTCGCGGAAGAGATCCCCTGTGGTTTGATTTGGATTTTTTTATAACTCTCCAGAGGGGTGAAGAATAGAAACCAAAGAAAACCTCTGTTGGGGGTAGTATGGATTTTATTTGACTGGAACAACACATCAATTACATCATTGCTTATACACTGTATATCGTTTTTGTTTCAGAGAAAAAATGTATTTCACAGCTCAGCCAGAGTCAATGATGATTAAAATTGAACATGCAGTGTTAGCAACAAAGTTTTCAGGAGGAAAGAAGGGAAACAGCATGGCAGCTTCACAAAGAAATATGAAGGGATTCCTCTACGGTCTGAACGGAACTATTCTAAGAAGGCAAAGTAACTAGTTCCTTCATCTTTGCTGAAATCATTTGTGTTCATGCACATTATACAGGCCACTCTGCACATTTTATTTAAGACAAAGTCAAACTTACACGCACTTATATAGTTTGACCAAATTTGTATGTTAAAAGATGCATTGTTTGGATGGACAATATCAATGACAACAGTATTTGCTTCAATTCATTTACAGTAAACTGCACTACAGTTTCCTTGCAATTAAAGCTATTTTAAAAATTTAGTGATTCTATTTACCAAACAAATAAGGAAAATTCTCATTGCGTCTTATTACTTTTTTTGGTACCCCTAAAGGGCGGCAGTAAGAGTCACACGTGAGGATCTCACCTGCGTGCCTGGAAAGAACACATTTTCAGGAAACAAAACCGACTGTTTGCAGTTAAACGATTACCGTATTTCCTCGAAAGCTCGCTCGGGCGCTTATTGAAAATTTCAGATAAAAGGAGAGGCACTTATTAGAAGGAGAACGGTTAATCGGGGGCTGGGGGGGGGGGGGCGCTTATAAAGTTTTCCTTTCGATGAACTGTAACTTTATTTTGGCTAAATGTAAAATAGAAAAAAAAAAACTACAAAATTATCCCAACAAACGTGTATTAAATACTTTATTTGTCTTTCGTTTTGTAACCAAGGGTACCTAAGAGTCCCACGTGGGGATCTCCCCGCCGGGCCGGGAAAAAACACATTTGCAGGAAAAAAACCCGACTTTTTGCGGTTAAACGATTCCCGTATTTCCCGAAAAGCCCGCTGGGGCGTTTATTAAAAATTTAAGAAAAAGGGGGGGCCTTTTATTAGAGGGGAACGGTTTAATGGGGGGCGGGGGGGGGGGAGGCGCTTATAAAGTTTTCCTTTCGATGAACTGTAACTTTATTTTGGCTAAATGTAAAATAGAAAAACAAAAACTACAACATTATCCGAGCAAACGTGTATTCAATACTTTATTTGTCTTTCGTTTGGTAACCAAGCGTACCACAGTCCCATTACACACCTTGCACACAGTTGGATCAGTATGAATGTTGTAATTGAAGCTTAAAAATGTATAGGTATAGGAGAAGTAGCAACCTTGCATCCCTACTATTAATAGGAAGTTTAAGCAACAACGATGGCGACGGCCATGAGAACGGCAAAAAAAGCAGTAGGTTTAGATTGACAAAACAACAACTTTGCACGTGCATCACGCTTTTTTGTACATTTCCTCGCCGTCGTTGCCCTACTACGACGTGAAACTGCGTAATTTCACGTTTTGTGGAGGACGTAAACGCAAGAAAACTACCCTTTTTTTTTTCTTTTCATGAACTTTGATACAGTCCCGTAGAATCCAACTCCAGTCAAATTCGCCAACATTTGACAATTGAAATTGAACGAGATAGAGTAAACGCGATAAAGTTTGAAGCATCGCGAATACACTTTTTAACTGACGTTTTCGTTGGCGCGTTTATTCCAATTTGCTGAAAATTACAAATGTAGGCGAATTTGCCTGGGGTTGATTCTTGAGGACCGCACTCAAGTTTAGAGAGAGAAAAAGAGATTCGTCGTCGCCTGTTTACGTCCGCCATTAAACTTTTAACTAGGCATTTTCAAGTCGTAGTCGTGCATAAAGAAATGTACAAAAAAGCGTGATGCACGTGCAAAGTTGTTGTTTTGCGCAATAAACCTATTGCTTTTTTGACGTCCTCGTTGCCGTGGCCGTCGTCGTTGCTAAAGCTCCCTATTGCTTAAGCTCTCTATTAACGAAGTGAGGGGGAAGGGGAAGCACGCTTATTCGAGAGGGGCGCTTCTTTGATATTTTGACCTTGGTGTTGGGCGTTGATTTGGTGGGAGGGCGCTTAGTAGAGCGTGGGCGCTTTTTCGAGGAAATATTGTATGAGATCATAGTACCTTCTAGTGATTTACATTCAAAACTGCTAGCAAAGATCGTCCCTTCACTTCCAGGTGGTGCATGGTCCCTTTATGAAACAGGGAGGTCCGAACATGTGCACTCAATAAATAGTCTGACTCATCTTTGTGTTCCCTCTGCTTCCACAGCCTTTCAAATGAGGACAATGGTCCTAGAGGCAGAGCAGACAAGTTTACTGTGCAGGAAATTCTTCACGCCGCAGGAGTAGAAACTTTGGATGAGCCATCTGATGCTCTTAATGCCAAGGGAAAACCTTTTCGCCGCCATGGGATTGTTCTGCACGTGGCTGTCAATTATCAAAACTCCGACTCCAGTTTTCTTGGAACCGGGTATTGGTTTTCAAGTATTCTCACTTGTTTCATTTCGTAGCCCGAGAAAACCGCCGACAATTTTGCGATGCCACCGCTGATTTCCCGCGAAATGACGTCTGAGAAACGAGCGCAGAAATTCCATACTGATGACGTGTCAGTACCCAGATCTGGGTAGTGCTTCTGATTGGTTGAAGCAAATCTCCCACGCGGAGTTGACTAATCAGAAGCACTACTCAGATCTAGGTATTGACACGTCATCAGTATGGTTTTTCTGCCCTCGTTTCTCAAATGTCATTTCGCGCGGAAACCAGTGGTAGCGTCGCGAAATGTCGGGTGTTTAGTTAGACTATTCATTTCGTTCACTGTTCACTCTAAAATCCGGATCCTTTGTCAGTGGAACTTGGCTTCCGGATTCCAATCGATTGATCTGAATTACGGATCCCAAAACATAGGATTCCGGATTTCACAAGCAAATATTCCTGGATTTCGGAATCCGAATCACCTTACGTGGGCCAAGAGGTTAGCTCTTGGAACAACCTATCTTTTCTTCCCAAAATGGGTAATTCATAGGTCTTGTTTTATCTTGTATCGTTTTTTCAAGAACTTATAACATTATCTGTGTGGCTTTTATTTTGTAGAGATATAACATATTCTTACCATGTGAGGCGGATTCCGTATGCAGACTACAGAGTTAACGAGGTCATTCCTGTGCTTAGTGAAAAAGATTTTACAGACTCCAGTCAAATGGGACCTCAAGAGAAACGGCTGTTTAGGAAACGCTATGGCATCAAAATAGAATTCCATCAAACCGGTCGATTAGGTGTGTGAGGAATTATTTTTATTTTTTTTCCCTGATGTATGGTGGGTTTCTTTGTTACGTCACCAGGAAGGGCAAACTACGAATAATTACAGAAGCATGAGCGTAGTAAAAAAAAGAATATTATCTCTTGGCGCAATTTGAGGAAGCGCTGTTACACGCGGCAGGCGGGTTTCACTGTTGTTTCTCACGGGCTATTAATAACACGCGCCTTGCCTTACCCGGTTGTGTCTCGTGGCTCCAACCATACACAAACGTCTTGAGACACTTTTGCATTTGTAGGGCTTTTTTCAATTCAGACATGTTTAACCACAGGCAACCCAAGCGCACTATTTGTGGGTTCTGGCTTCAGAGGTCATTTGGTCGGAATATACTAGAATTATTGGTGTATTATCTGATGCCAAATAATGCAAAAGTCTTAAGGATATGAAGTCTTCTTGTTTGTCTATCTGTACTAGTAGCCTTTAAGATAACGAAAATCGATATTTCTTGCATTATTACATGTGATTCGGGCCCTTATTGTTCGAATTTTATCACATGTATTCGAATCTACAACGCTAAGAAAAAAAAATCATGATCACGCGAAATATTGATTCAAAAAGCTCCCTTACCTTTAGTTCATAGCCACTCTGTGTCCTACGGTCGGTTTAAACGCCGTTTAGTCGACTTTCTTTCCATCGAATACTGAACACTATAAAAGAAGGGAAGGCTGGAGACCTTCCAACCGACCCTCGCCGCTCGAAGGCCAATAAATTCCAAACAAAGCGACCGATCTCCCTAAAATTGCCACCAGCCAGACCGAAGAGTGTATACCTACCCGTTCGATGAGCGCCAGGTTCTAAATTCGGCTCCATGAGCTCGAGGAGCGTTGCATTTCGCATCGATTCTGGCCAGCTTCGCTTCGCCATGATGCGCAATCTGACTGTTATCCTACGAGATTTGAATCTTGGAGCTTGGCGACCGCGTCAGATCGACAAAACGTCACTCTCGAGGGGGAGGATCGTCACTTTTGCCCTATCGCAAACCGACACCGTCCAGGGAGCCGGTGCGTTTAATTCGGCCGGAAACAGCTCACGCGTGTATGACACATGACACCCAAAAACGTCCCCAACTGTCTTTTCTCCGATTTGAGATGTAAATCTTGCCAATAACGGTTACAAAATCAGTTCGTTGCAGTTGTCTGGATCAGTAGTTCTGTTCAAGTTCGATATTTCCTTTCGTATTTTAACAACAGTTCATTCCAGAGCTACCCTAAAATATATTTTTCTTCTTCACTTAGCTTGTTTGTTAGTAAAAATCACGTGTATTTCGGTTCCTGTGGCGATCGCGTGTGTCTAGCGTTTGAAGAAAGTCTGTTGATAACGATGTTATCAAAAGTAGCCAGACAATAGGAGGATTTTCCTCCGAAGAAGAAAAGAAAATCTTTTGGCTGTTCAGAAGAGTGAAAAATATGGTAAGTGAAACAAATTCTAATAATTATGTCGGTGTCGGTTTGCGATAGGGCAAAAGTGACGACCCTCCCCCGCGAGAGTGACGTTTTGTCGATCTGACGCGGTCGTCAAGCTCCAAGATTCAAATCTCGTAGGATAACAGTCAGATTGTGCATCATGGCGAAGCGAAGCTGGCCAGAATCGATGCGAAATGCAACGCTCCTCGAGCTCATGGAGCCGAATTTAGAACCTGGCGCTCATCGAACGGGTAGGTATACACTCTTCGGTCTGGCTGGTGGCAATTTTAGGGAGATCGGTCGCTTTGTTTGGAATTTATTGGCCTTCGAGCGGCGAGGGTCGGTTGGAAGGTCTCCAGCCTTCCCTTCTTTTATAGTGTTCAGTATTCGATGGAAAGAAAGTCGACTAAACGGCGTTTAAACCGACCGTAGGACACAGAGTGGCTATGAACTAAAGGTAAGGGAGCTTTTTGAATCAATATTTCGCGTGATCATGATTTTTTTTTTCTTAGCGTTGTAGATTCGAATACATGTGATAAAATTCGAACAATAAGGGCCCGAATCACATGTAATAATGCAAGAAATATCGATTTTCGTTATCTTAAAGGCTACTAGTACAGATAGACAAACAAGAAGACTTCATATCTTTAAGACTTTAGGCATTTATTTGGCATCAGATAATACACCAATAATTCTAGTATATTCCGACCAAATGACCTCTGAAGCCCACAAAGTGCGCTTGGGCTGCTTGTGGTTTAACCCCTCTCCCCACGCTACAAACAACGTTGGACGAGTCTATCGAGAATTTCTTCCGAGTTTAACTAACATTGTACAAGGTAGGGGAGGGAGAACTGCAAGACAATTTCGAAAAGGATGGACTGTCTTATGAGGGAAACCAGAATTATCCTAAAAATTATGAAAACTGCATCACTGTCCCAAGGACTTTTGTCCAGTATTGTTGTTACCAAGCCTTCCAGCGTCCACCTGGAAAGCTTGGTACTAGAATCACGCTTGCCAGTCTACTGTCTTCACTGCTCGAAGTCTAGTCGACTGAGGAGATGCCACTCACGCTGTGGAACTTATCTTATGTTTTGTACTTAGGGATGGTTTGCACAAACGACGGAGCCGGAGTCGTAATCACAAGCATAGAGCTTATGATCTAGTGACAACAGCGTTCCGACTCCGCTTACGACTCCGTCGCTTACGTTCCGCTTATGATCTAGTGAAAACCTGATTGTCGGAGTCGGAAGCAGAAGCGGAATAACTAAACCAATCACATAATTTTCACTAGACCACAAGCGGAACGTAAGCGATGGAGTCCTAAACGGAGTCGGAAGAAATGGGAACGTTATGATTCTTCTGACTCCGATTCCGTCGCGCTTACGACTCCGATTTTTGATTTTCACTAGGTCATAAGCCCTCTTACGACTACACTTACGACTCCGACTACGACTCCGTCGCTAGTGAAAACCAGCCTTTAGTACGCAAGCGGGTAATTTATCCTTAATTTATTGTATAAGCAAGCAACTTTCAGACCTTTCAGAAATCATATGCATTGCAAAGTTGACAAAATTTGAGCCCGTGTTAAACAGTAGAAAATATCGCAACTCCACTTTACAAATAACATTCCTGCACACGCACGTTTAGTATACTGTACAACATCTCGAAACAGCCGGTTTCGCCCCCCCCCCCCCCCCCCCCCCCCCCCCCCCCCCCTTATTGTTGAAAGCACCAAACGTCTGAACCTTCAGAAAAAACAATCCATGGAAACGTTAAAAAATTTGGTGCCGCGTTTCAAAGAAAAAAAAAATGCCACCCCCCTTTCTAAAAAACAATCCCCCCCCCCCCCCTTTTTTGTACCGGTGAACCCCTCCCAAAACGCGGTTTTCCCCCCCCCCCCCCCCCCTTCGCGTTCGCCTCGTTGGAGTTTGACCCCCGAATAAGATCATGATTAGTGTTAAGCGTCTACAGTACTGATTAGAGTTAAGTACTGACTCAAAATGGTTAGCTTCTATTCACTGGTAGGTTTGTTACTCTATAAAGGTTAAGTCACGGGTCAACTCCGAGAAGTCGAAACAGGCATAAATACAACATTTTTTGTTAACTGTCTTTTCTTCATTTCCAAAGGTCATTTCTCATTGTCTTCATTATTACTTCGTCTTGCATCTGGAGTTGGCTTGTTGACGTTAACAGCAACTGTTGTAGACATTCTAGCGCTGTACATCCTTCCTGATAAAATAAAATACCGAAAATGTGTCTACGAGGAGTCTCCGATATTAGAAATGAAGAAGGAGCAATAACTGGTCTTTATATTAATAAAAATTAGGATAATTTGGTGAAATAAAGTACTAAATAACTTGTCGTGACTGCTAATTTTCTCACCCTAGTCTACCAAAAATATTGTTTTAGTCAAAATTAATATAGTTAAAAAAGTTTTGTGAAATTTAGATTTTAAAAATTATTAAAAGTAATTAATTGGCCGATTTCATTTTATGAACAGTGTTGATAACATATGTTTAAAATGAGTATCTTTTATATGAAACAAATATTGATTCTGCTGCAATTAAGCTTATTGACTCATCTTTATAAAGGACAAGTAAAATCGGCTCATAAAACTGACGGCAACCTAAGCCTGGTTTTTCGGGAATATCCCAGACGACCCGACTGTTTCTTGATCATTCCAGGTTTTGCCGAGTCAGGAGAATCAAAAAGCTTGTCCCAGACGCCATCTTCATTTGTGAGAGCTTAGAAGTTGGAAGACTGTGATCGACTAGAAACGATCGCCTATCGATCTCCGACAAGCAAAATTTGAGTTTTCGTATGTCGGGAACGATCACCGAGTTCATCGCAGAAATCTGGGAGGTATTCGCCAATTTGTCTCCGACCATGCAAGACGATCGGGATATAATATCTACAATTAAGATTTCGACTCTTCATTAGTCGGAAAAACTGGGGAGCTAGGTCAAGAAAAATTGATCATGCACTGGAATCTTTCTGATATTTGAAAACCAGAATAGGACGTTTTTATGTCTAGCCGGGTTTTTGAAAACGAACTAAGCAAAATGCTCAGTCATTTGAGTGGAAAAGAGCCGAAACTAAGGGAGGTTTTTTGCGTTCGATAAGGCAGAAATCGCAGTGACGAAGGCTGAAAAGGATACCAAGAGGATAATAGCAGTAGCGTGGAGAAAGACAGGAGGAGAAAAGCAAAAAGTAATGTTTGCATTTAGGTTTTATGATGGCTACTATGGAGATGTTTTTGGCCCATAAAAACTGCCTGACGGAAGAGAACATTGAGGCGATATAAGAACTTTTTCAAAAATTCGGCTAGAGATACAAAAATCATGTTTTCTTTACTTGCTTCAATTTTCAGTAGTTTTGCACTGTGAAATGCTAAAACAGACGTTTACTAGAATTTTAGCGGGTTGAAGTCTAGCCCCCGTTATGAAGTTCCCCTCCTTCCCTTTCGTGGATGCGCACGTGTTAAGGATGTCAGTTAGTAATCTATTCCCAGTAGACGCTCGCTTAACAAAGGCTTGGGATTTCGAGTCCGCAGGCGAGGAGGCGACAGGACCAACACTCAGGTTCTTTAAATAACCGAGAAGAAAGTGCTGCCTTTGTAATGACATCTGCAAACGGTTAGACTTTTTAGTCTCCTCAGGTAAGGACGAAAAACCGTAGGTCCCTTCTCACAGCACTTACACTTATCTGGTTCTTGTGGGACGTAAAAGAACCCACACCACTGTTCGAAAAGAGTAGGGGACGCAGACCCCGATGGTGTGGTCAACCTACACACATCACATCATTCACATCATGGGTTGGGTGGGTACAGTAAGCTCACAAATGGACTGAGAGCGGCTGCCAGTGGCGCCTCTGTATACTGACGTCCGAGCTTACCGTTCACATGTTAAAATGTATTGTAGGAGGGCACGTCTGTTGTCCTCTCATCCACGACTCTTCATTTCATTTATTTCATGATAACAGCATAAGAGCAGAGTGTGGTATTTAGCCTATGTTCAGGCTATACCAGATAGCTTTTGCGCCGGCACGAAAACCATACCGAATAGGGCTTCTGTTCAAACACAAAAACGGTTGTGGCGGCGTGATTTCCGTGACGGGGCGAAGCTGCTCCGCACGGATCTCTAAAGTAGAGACTGAGTCATGTATCGGATAGGTGTTCATACTATACTGCATAGCTTTTCGTGGCGCCACGAAAAGATATCCGGTATGGTGAGAACATAGCCTTATATTTAACTCTGGACAAAAAATCATAAAAGGCTATATTACGTTGTTTCTTACTCTGGGTAAGGCCCTTCGTATATCTGGGTCCTGGTTACAAGGAGTCCGATAGTTTTCCTTCTCGGTGAGAGGTAGGGCTGTTATCTATGACTTTAATAAGTGCACTAAGGGTTTGTCGGAAATTTGCATACTCAGTGTACGTGCGTGCAAACGCAATTGTGCTAACGTTCACCGTCGGCCACTATTAGTTTCATACCTTTGTCTAATTACGGTGACTGAACACAATTTCTCTCACACAGAGTTGCGCGCGCTAAGAAATTTCACTGACGTAATCGTTTTTGTCCCTGAATTCATGATTTTAGGCTTGTTTAAATCATCCATGTTAACATGGCAACTATAAAAAATCTTTTAATCTACGTTTAATCTAAAAAACGTAATTTCTTATAAATATATTTTGTCTGTGCTAAAGTCGAGCTTATACCCGCAACAAGTCTTAAATAACACTTGTGAAGGCAAAACCACAACGACAAACCAGTGAGGGTCCGTCGGATCTTTGGTAGATCTGGATCAGTAAAATCTTGAATAACACCCCAATGAACAGTAACAACTCACAACCTACCAAACTGTGTTCAGCCACAATAATACGTTTAGGAGTTTGGCAACGAGAGAAGTGAATTGCAAGGACTACTCTTCCATGACAGATAAAACTACATTCCCTTGCTTAACCCTCCTATACGTACTCTGTATTTTATTGTGCCGTTGCAACAAAAAATAAATCCGCAATAATTACGCATTAAACATCATTATGTGATTTTTTAACATCGGCCATTGTACGCGCAGCTCGTGCAAAGAACTAGCCTCCCCCGCGGACATTCTTAGGGATGCGTCTCGTGTTCTTGCCCCACTTTGGGCAAGAACGCGTGACGCACCCCTAAGAATGTCTGCGGGGGAGGCTAGCAAAGAACAAATGTGAGCCTCAGGTTTGCATGAAGCTCTACCCAAACGACAGATAGAGGGGATCTATTATGGAATTTTTCGAGGTGGTCTATCTAGTACCTAATACAACTCGCCAAGCAACTTATTTATTTCTCGACTGCGAAATACTTCAACTAGCTTAACTTAAGACTAAGATTCATCTTTATATAGAAGCATAATTTAGGGGCCGGTCGTCTGAGTCCAAATTAGGGAGCTGGATGGAGCCCCTTCCCGGGGTTTTTGATATGTTGTAGCATTTCGAAACGATTTTACCTTGTGGAAGGCCTTTGATCTTCTAACAAGATGAGGTGGTGGGGCTGCTGGAGGTCTGTGACGTCACCAACAATGGTCGCCATTTTGGATTTTACCAAGGATTAGAAATCAGGTTAAAACCGCGAGAAATAGTATTTTTTGTGCTTTACATGAACTTTGCATGATTTTAGCCACAAAATTTACTTTTATTGTTGAAAGAAGTTGAAGGAACATGTACATTCACCCAAAAATGGCTTGACCACCTGCGACTTATGACGTCATAGCTCGTGACCATAGCAGCTAACCATCACTGAACTTGTCTTAAGAAGTGCGCGAGAGATGAACGAACCGCTACTGAAAACGTCAGGAGCTGACGTGTTATCCTATAGGAAAAAAACTCAGAAAAACAAGGGGGTGACATCCACCCCCCTCCCCCACCACCCCTTGTACGTCCGAGGGTTAAAATGAATTCGCGATTTTTCAAACTTTGACGCGTTTATTCCAGTTCGCGGATCAAGAGCCGTTATGCTCTTGATTGTGATCAAAGACGATTGCTGTTTTTTGGGTGTACATATAAGGCCATTAACTCGATGTAAGATTTGTTTCACTCTTGGACTGTTTTCAAATTATTTTTCCCTAAAATCACTTAGCTTTTCCCTCAAAAGTCACATGAATGTGCCCTAAAGTTAACTGATTTGTTAAAAATCAAAAAGTGCTACAGTTTATTGTTTGATTTAAATTATAAATTTATTAATGGGAGCTTCGCCTTTAGACTTGGATAAAATTATATAATGCTGAAGTGAAGCACCTGTTATCGTTAACTACACTAACTACGTTCACTAAAGTCAACGCACCAAAACAGCCTCCATAATGTCAGAAGCTTACTAGGTATATTTAACTGAAAGTTACTGAGTAGCGATAAAAAGCGTCCTTTATTCCTAATAAACTCTAGACTGAGTAATCTGAAAACTAGCCCTCCGTTAACAGAGTGACACGTCAGGTCGACTCACTGTGGAGTCATCACAAGAGAGTGTCGAAAGTTTCGCTGGTGCTGGGGCATTGATCATTGTAACATTCCTGGGTCTCATCTAACAGTGTAAAATCATAATATGGGGTATCAGCTGTCATCATTTGTTCAAGGGTTGGTATCATTTCGGTGAATGAGGGTCGTTCATTCGGATCATCCCTCCAGCAGTCCAGCATTAACTTGTATCTGTCGAGAAGAAATTATGCTGGTTTATGCTTTGTTCAAGTTGGCCAATTATGACGCTAGCCAAAATTGTCGTCAAGCTACGACACGTAACTCTTTTTGAACTCTGATGATCACTGTTGTCGAATAGGCAATCACTGTTAACAACAATCTTTTCCATAAGACAACCTAATTAGAGACCAATGATGGGCTCAAGCTATTTACAATGCCATGTTGTGCCGAATTTCCCTTGTGAGTAGTATAGAAGGGATGAAATTATCCATTTTAAAGCGGAACATTAGCAGGTAGTTCTTAACGTTTATGACTTCAAAGAAACGTAAATGAGTTAAGCCTGGTTCTTTTCTGCCTCCGATCTACTTGCGTTGGCGTTATATTCGCCAGTTTCACCGATTTTTTTTTGTCGCAATCAAGTCGCATGAGTGCCTGCCAGAGAGTCATGATTGTCATGATAAAGTCAATCGAAGTATTTAACAGTTATTCCTCGAGCCCGAATGGGCTCTGAGCAAGAGACTAAAAAGGGGACAGAGAGGGCATCCCCCATATACACCCTATTCCATAGGTAATTCGTCTCGAGTTATTTTTAGAATCGGGATAAAGTTACCTCGCGCGAGGCGTGGATGTTTCGTGGAGGTTTCGCATGACCAAACGCCGTGCAAAACATGTCGGGCGAGAGGCAATGAAAGCGTAAAAAGATCGAGAGCATCACTGAATATTGAAGCGAAATGAGTCAGCGCTCACCTGGGAAAAAGGAATCGCTGGACTCTTTGACAACCCATGAAATCAGTTTAACTCGAAGTTGTCGTAACCTCACTGCTTTAATAAAATGAGATATTTCGCCGGTCTATTGAAACCAGTCGTTTGTACAATTTAGGGAGTTTAAGATCCAACGACGCGGACGACAACTAAAACGTCAAAAAAACAATAGGTTTAATTAGCAAAACAACAATTTCGCACGTGCAACACACTTTTTTGTTCATTTCTTTCCCGTTTTTGCACGACTACGACGTGAAAATGCCTAATTTCGCGTTTTATGGGGGACGTAAATAAGCAACGACGAAATTTTATTTCTCTTTCTGAGCCTGAATATGGTCCCTTGAAATTCAGCTTTAGGAGGGTTCGCCTACAATTGACAAAGTAAGTGGGTAGGAATAATTGCTATAAACACTGAAAAAAATAAACATCAAACCAGAAATTGCTCTCTTCAAACTGTAAATTATAAATGATCCTGAGAGAATATTCAGTGTGTTAAAGATTTCCCTGCTCTACTGTTAGCTCTATACAAGAGAGGAGGGGTGATTCTTTTTTAATTTCGGTTTCGCTGACTTAGCTTTCGCAGAAATCTCGCTGTAGTCGTTTTCGTCGACAAAAGGAATAGCAAAATCGCTCTCCGCGTCTTCCCCCATTTTGTTCTGCGTCATTTCGTGAAGGACGCGTGGCTCTCAGCTTGGGTCATCCATGCGGAACACATTCGCGCTATGTGATTGGCTGTTGTCTAATCCCCCTTGAGATCTGTGGTGTTAAAAATAACTCGAGACGAATTACCTATGGAATAGGGTGTATATGGGGGATGCCCTCTCTGCCCTTTTTATAGTCTCTTGGCTCTGAGTCAATAGCCCATGAGGCCGAAGGCTGAATGGGCTATTGACTTAGAGGCCATGAGGGCGAGAGGAATAATTTTTTTAGTAAAATCCAACTAGTTGGTCAAAAATATCAAGAATAAACAAGTTTTAGCTACTTAAAGCTAGACTTTAATCCTTATTTGCCGCCAAAAGCCGGCGCTTTCCGCTACTAGTGGGCTATAACATATAGCCTAGTAGTAGCTCAACCAATCAGAACGCAGCATTGATAATAGACCACTAGCTGGATTTTACTAAATTGTACTATACCCTTGGCGTTTCATCGATGAACTTAAAGAAGTGGCCGAAAAAAACGGCCTTGTTATGAACGTTTTAAACATGATCATGCCTATAGCGTAACAATGTTGTTTTTAAAAGATATTGTGTTTCTCGTTTGGTACATTTATTTTGCGAGTCATTTGCAATAGGTTTACTTACATTTCATCACTGCAAGTGTTTGGTTGTGCCATACGATACCCCTTCTTAAGGAGATTGTACAACTGGGCATGGTTGATTCTGGGATAAGGAGTTCCACCTAAAATGTTCAATTTAAATATCATTGGGGAAGGTTCAGAGAACTTTTAAGCTACCATTACGTCTGTCAAAAACTGTCAGTTATTGTGGCGCATGACCATGTGACCATTGACTCACGATGGTGATCTTGTACCCAGATCTCTCGTCGACGAAGCCGAGGGCGAGATCAGGTCAAGTAAAAAAAGATAAAATAAAAAAGCTTCGACTATACTCTGTTCTGTTGTAAAGCACGCCGGAAGCAGCTAGAGCACGAAAGAACAGTTGAGGAAACCGAGACCTAGTGGAGTGTTTCTCCCTACTTTCGTTCTCTTGCCGTTTCCTGCGTGCTTTTCAACAAAACAGAGCACAGTGTCAAGGCTTCTTTATTTGTTTCATGATAAAGAATCCGTTAAATTCTTCATACATCACTTTTTAATTTTCAAAACAAACTTTCGGCAGATGGTGCGACACTTTTAACTGTGTGTTTTATACTCTCATAAAGCATGCATTTGCAACCAACCAGAGTACGCGTTATATCTGGACTTTATTATAAATCAGTGCGCCTGACCGGCGAGCACGTGGCGTACGGATTTGACCAGATCTCTCCCTCGGCTCCGTCGACGGGAGATCTGGATACGAAATTACGTTGTTAATAAAACAAACAAAGAAATGCAATGGACGATCATTATAACTCTAACATCAGTCAAAGCATTTAATATATCTTACCCATGGTAGCCATTTCCCACAAAACAACTCCGAAGGACCATCTAAAGAACAAGGTATGATGAAAACAAATAATAGGTGAAAATATTAAAAATTATAATGAAAAAAATTCGTATGAGAGGAAGATTGATTGATTGCCTGCGAATCCTTACATCAATAATTGCATTTTTTCCAAATGTAGCCGGAAAGGTCAATAGTTTTATTGCATGCTACAGTTCAAAACGGTATCTTGGTATGAACAAATTAACAGCCTGCTGACCACTTGCTGTGATTCTATTCATCACGAGTTTCTTAGCGAAGCATGCAGTGACACAGAGTTTTACTCAGTGGAGGGTGGCCCTTAAATGGTAGTCATCCCCGGAGAGAAATACAGTAAATAAGCCATTTGCACGGTGACGTCTTTTTACTTCTAAGACCAGAATTCATTTCGTTTTTTCTTTGGTATTTTAATTTGGTAAACCCAATTTGCACATTGAAGCAAAACCCTGAAGGATTCTGGTAATAGTTGTAAAATGACGCCATCGTGAGAGTGGCCTATTGTGTAACTGGGAACAAAGGGTTTAAACACAGGCTCTAAAATCGTAGAGTAAATTCGAACCCAGACCCCTGCCTTTAAAAAGAAAGGGATGGTAACTGATAATGGTACGTGTTAGCCATTAATGTTTAGAACATCTATTAGAAGAGCTTTTATTAAGGAAAATGTCCAAAAAATGCCTCTGGTGAACAACGCATAGGAAGGAAATGACCCAGTAGTGGGTTTCTCTGTTTACGTCTTGGTATTTGGCTCGTTCATATACCTGTGTTGTAGGTGATAACAGGCCTAAGAAACCTTGCAAAAATTTTTTATTTAACTTACACATCACTCTTGGAAGTAAAAATTCCAGTCTGCAATGAATCAGGTGCTGTCCATTTTATGGGCAGTTTCTTAACGGTTGCCACCTTGTATATCTCACTTTCACCTGTGCGGCGTAGCATACCAAAATCAGAAATCTTCACCGCTTTGTTTTCACCAAGTAAGATGTTACGGGCTGCCAGATCACGATGAACAAATCCTTTACTGGCCAAGTATTCCTAAAGGAAGTTTGATAAAAACTTAGTGTTTTCTATCTACCTGGTAGCCCTTTGCCAGAACCCATTTCTTCACTGAAGCTGTTTATTTACTTCTTAGACAGATTTTGCCTGTTACCATGGCTACCAGTTCTGACAAAACATAACAAGGTAAGGCCATTTTTTGAGTAGTTTTAAACCCCTTTTTGTGGGCAACAGATTATTTTAGCTGTGAAAGGTGTGAACCCAGGAGTCATTTCATAAGTAGTTTCAACCTTGATCGTTCGGCTGAACGAAGTCTTGAAAAGGACTGATTTTGACACTGACTGACGTTTCGACAACCTGTGCGGGAGTCATCTTCAGAGTCAAAGTGAGTTGGATTACGTCAGTTAAAATCTGATAATTGACCTGTTTGGTCATTTAAGTCGCTTTGTTATTGGCCGTCTGCCAATTAAGCCGTAATGTTATTAGCTACGAAGACTCTTTGAAGACTACGGTGCGTTTCGATCCGTCTATTGTCACCGTTTAACAGTGTTTTATTGTTAGTCAAATTGTCGGTCGCCCAGTCATTCTCTAGTAACTTGTATGGTGCCGGTAACTGTTGACTACGATTCAGTGGGATTTGCTCTAAGTTTGTAAACCAGGCTTCTAAAGTGAGTCGTTGATAGTAGTATGTACAGTACGTAATGCGAGTCGATTTGATGTTTCGTCTGTAAATGGTGTTTAGCAATGTGATTGTTGACGTCACCATTTCTTGTCGCTCGTTTGTGTTCAGTCAGTCGCGTGCTAAGGTTTCTGCCGGTCTTACCAATGTAAGTAGCCTGGCAGTTGTAGCTTTTTATCTTGTAAACTGCTCCCTGTCTGTCCTCCAGTTTGTCTTTTGTCCTTGACGTTGGTAATTCGTCGTCGTAAAGTGGTTATCGGTTTGTGTGCAACGCGTATGTTGTGAGGTTGTAGTATACGTGCGATAGTTTCAGAGGTGCCCCTATTTCACGGTATAGTCGCCGTCGAATATATATTAGACCTTGGGCAAAAAAAAAAAAAAAAATCTTTATTTTTCGGAAGCATTTCCCATGGCAAAGAATTAACCTACCATTCCCTTAGCAATCTGCCACGCAAAACTCATCATATCATCTGCAGAAAAAACGTGATCTTTACTGTCGATGTCACAAGTGCCTTCGTCGTGCTCTGTAGGGGCTTTCACTGTGGTCCTTTTATGGGATTGAGGAAACTGGTTGTCTTTAAAGATCGGTGGTAATGACAGTACCCTCTTTTCGTTTTCTTTGCCAAGTTTGGTTTCTGGAGATGATACGTATACTTTCATGGCATCACCTTTGGACTTGCCTTTCTCGTTTCCCGAACTTTCTATTTCCGTTTGCTTTTGAGTAGCATCGCCGTTCCTATCCTCTGTTTCTATAGTCAAGGTTATTCCATCGCTTCCCTTCGATCCGTCATAGTTCGTGAGCTGATGAGAGGGTCCTTGGCTTCCTTCCATAACAAGGCTTGTAGCAACTTCTGGGAGATCTCTCGAGCTCTGCCCCAGCGATGTTGTCTCTTCTTTTTCCAAAGTTGAACATGGAGGTAGTATTTCAAGCAGGCGCTCAACCTTGGTGTCAACATAGGTTTCCTTGGATTTGTGCAGATTTTCTAGTTCTTGCAGTTGCTTGGAGGCATTTTCCTCTTGTTTTTCATTGTTGACCTTTCCTTGTTTTATCTCCTGACCATCCGTGTTTTTCTTCTGACTTTCTAAGACGTCGCTATGGTCATTATTCTCCTTTGTAAGCTGCAAGTAGTTCAAACATGATTTAGGTCTACAAATTAATATTCTATATAGTATAGACTGGTGAAGCAATTTTACCAGAGTAAAAAAAGATCATTTTCTACACAGACATAAGCCCATGACCACACGACATACGCTGTTCTCACATATGGTAATATGCCCGTCTAACCTCGTTTACGGATAAAAATTCTTTTGAAATTCAGATACGAAAACGTCGTCTGATTAGCATTTCAAAGGATTTTTTACTCAAAAACGAGGTTAGACGGGCATATTACCATACGTGAGAAGAGCGTATAGCTACAGCTTAAGATATTTCTTTCTTTAAAAATAAAATTTTCTGATTTCAGACCAAATAAATTACCGGTTTTCAAAAAAACGATATCAACTTTTGGATATAGAATGTAAAACCAACTTCATATATTTGCCGTGTTAAAATTAAAGGAGTGTTTCTTTCTCCCCAGTGGTTTTGGCTCTCCTTACATGTTTTAAATATGCAAAAGTCTTTCATTATAGACTGCGACAAGCTCTGCGAGGTGAAAGAAATCTTGTGGGAAATGGCGTTGCTGCTAGTGGCTTCATTTTCAATGGCCATGATCTTTGCTGTCACCCTGAATTTTACCGCAAATTCAGGTTAAAACAAATTAGAGGAAAACCTTTGATTAGGGCATATACGTCCGCCCTTTTGCCCAAGTGTCTACTCTCCCTTTTATTTATCATTTTTTAACCCAAAGAGTCGTTATCATTTTTCTTGTTGTATTATCAATGCTTCATAAATTAGTTAACAGGAATTGAAGACATGTTCAAAAAACTTGAATTTACGTAATATTTTGAGAAATGTTCCAGGCTATACATTTATAGGAAATATAACGGGGCAACAAATAAGCTGATATAAATTTTGTTATTAGGGTAAAAATTGCAAAAATCGATACATACAGTAACAAGCTTTATTTGCTGTCTTTTGTTTCTAAGCCACTGTAGAAGGTCTCCGTGAGGAACATACTCCATGATCAACATGATGGGCTCCGACCGAATCCAAAAACCGAGCATGCTAAGAATGTTTCGATGCGATCCAACGTCCTTCATGAGGTCAATTTCCTGAAGAAACTGTCGTTTTTCCTCCTCTCCAGCATTTTCTAAACACAAACGGGAGTTATAATGAAAAAAAGAATATCAGTTAAAATCAGTCAAGAAAAACAATATCGAGAGGGTTTATGAACTGCGTATATAACCATGCAAAGGAAGTGATGATGAAGGGCATATTGACTAAGCGCAAGTCTCAAGCAGAAGAGACCTTGTATCGCAGAGGAACAGGAAGACTCCGGTCCTGCATGGAGCACCAATTGAATAGATTTTTAACTTGAGAACAACAATACGCAAAAAATACAGCTAGTGGAAGCTCTCCACAACGGCCTCTTTGACAACAGGAGAAGAAAATCCTTCAATAAGAACGACCGAGACCAGGTTTTATGAGCCGGCGATACTGAGCACCCTACCCAAACCCTTGTTTCCACTAAAACCGCTGGATGCCACAACCTGGTTGAGGTGGTTTTTATCTAAGGTCTTCCACAGAAGAAAGTGGCCGTTGTAGAGAGGTGGCCGTTAATGGGAGTACCACGTGTTTAGTGTGCTAAGTTCATGCTTACTGTATCCCATTATAGAAATCCAATCATATGTAATATATATCAGATAGAATACACAAAAAAATTTGAACGATGTTTTGAGTCAAAATGTTAACGGGACGAAACGAGCAAAGTTCGCAGTATTCGCTAGACGTATCGGAGACAATTTATACTTACTGCAGCAGTATAAATGGAACACAATCAAAAAGATGCGGATCAACTTCCATGATCATTCTTGACTTTTCCATCAGTCGGCGGCAAAACTGGCCGTTGTCGACAGGTTATTTTGACAGTTAGGGACATGCGTTTGTGGCCGTTGCCGTTGTAAAGACGTTTAAACAAGATTCATTGTATAGACTGTCCCCAGGGACAAAAAATAGTGGCCGTTGTAGAGAGGTGGCCATTATGGAGGTTAGACTTTAGCTTCAGCATCAGCAAGACGTCTGTCACATGTAAGTTAAGCTATTCTATATTGCAAGTGCAAGCCTTGATCCCACATGGAAGTGAACTTCGATTATACTAAAGTTACACAAACTTTATTTACGTTAACAACGTGCTGGTCGAACATGATTTGTAAACATTCATCGAAAATGGCCTAGTAGCTCACCAAGAAGGACTTTAACAGCAACAATTCGTCCTTCATTGTCCTTCAATGTTCGTAGCCTGTCCTTGGAATGTACATTTGGATTTCTTTTACTGGTATCTGGAAATATATTTGCGTTTGTTACCTCCTTCATTACACCTTTATGAACCTTGCCAAAAGCCCCTCGACCAAGTTCCCCCATAATGGTTACTCGCTCGTGTGGGACTTCCAGTGACATAAAATGGACAATTTCTTTCTTGGATCTAAATAAGAAATATCCAATATTAGTAAAAAAAAATTGTTTTGTACATGATCGAAGTATGAAGAAACAGCGTAGGAAGAACGGTTTTTCTTACTACGTAAGCGGCGGAGCAGGGTGGTCCCTGCCCCCCCCCCCCCCCGAGAAAAATTTGGGGGGGGGGGGGGTCAGAGCCCCCCCCCTTTTATCCCGTAATCCCCCTTACGGGGGTATTCGCCATTACCCGTGACATCGCGACCTGAAAACCGCACATTTCTGGCCCCCCCTAGACCATTTCCCCCCCAAAAACCAACTAGAATCAGGACACCCTAAAAATTCGTGTGGGACTTCCAGTGACATAAAATGGACAATTTCTTTCTTGGATCTAAATAAGAAATATCCAATATTAGTAAAAAAAAATTGTTTTGTACATGATCGAAGTATGAAGAAACAGCGTATGAAGAACGGTTTTTCTTACTACGTAAGCGGCGGAGCAGGGTGGTCCCTGCCCCCCCCCCCCCGGGAAAAATTTGGGGGGGGGGGGGATCAGGGCCCCCCCCGTTTTAGTCCGTAATCGCCATTACGGATGTATTCGCCATTACCTGTGACATCGGCAACTGCAAAGCGCACATTTCGTGCCCTCACTAGACGATTTGCCACCTAAAAAGCATCATGAATCAGGACTGCCTAAACAAATGCCTGCTGATGCATTGTCACAAATCGCAAACTTCACACTAGACACTGTGAAGATTACAAAGAGATTTGCCTGTGCTGACGAACAACGCGCTCAGCGGGCCGGCGCATCTTAACTGAGCTAACAAGACGGTGGTCAGCTGTTTCGCCCTTATTGGGGTCTTTGAACGGGGAAACCCGTGCATAAAAGACCGCTTGATAAGCCCCCACCCCCACGTTTCGAAAGGCTCCGCCGCCTCTGTTGTTTAGACACATTACGGAAAATTCCTTTTTTATGGAGACCAATAGAAGTCACTCGATTTTCTTGAGTACAATTTGACTTAAAGTTGAAACGGGGGACCAGTGCGCATGTCTGTCTTCGTTCTAGCCCGAGCACGCTACGTACCTGTCGTAGCAAAACAAACAAACGAAAGAAATACACTGTATCTTCCTTTTAAGGTTACGGCATGTAGCACATATTGTAATGTATAATTTAAAGGCCAGTTTATACTTAACGGTTTGTCTGCCTGGTTTTGTAACGAAAACATATGGTGAACAGAAAAGTTGGCCCGATTTCGTATTTAGATCTTCCGTCAATCGGAAAATACACCGCGCAAAAAAAAAGACGACAAATCGGTTTTCGAGTCCGAGCAAAACTATTATATTTCCTCGGAGAACTACTTTTCGAAGAAATTGTCGGATATGACGCCAGTGTCAGTGTTAGGGAAAGTTCATTTAATATGACAAGGGGGGGGGGGGGGNTCAGTAATTATTACACTCTTGTTCATCTCAAAAATGCTTTAGAAAATTGCATCACAACTGTATCTCAAGTTTTGTCATAGTATAAACCATTGAAGACAATAACGGTAAATATATGTAATATAGTCTAGCGATCTTTTTTCAGGGGAGCAAAGGAATTGAAGGAGGAGGAGGGGGGGCTCTGAAATTTTTTCGACTACCAAGGAGGGGGCTCCTAAAAAATTGAACCGCTAGCGAGGGGGGCTGCTAAAATTTCAAGCTTCGAGTTTCAATATCTTCATCCCCCCCCCTTGTCATATTAAATGAACTTTCCCTTAGTGTCCAACTTTGTAAACATGCGTTGAGTAATCCCTCTTGACTTTTCAGTGCCATTTAAGCATACCGTTCTTCCCTTTTTTGCCTCCTTCGGTAGATCCCTACGAGAATTGCTGCCGCAAGAGTAGCAGTGATTCCAAGAACTATTCCCAACGTTTTTATAGCGTGATCGTTAGCTGGAAAGACAGAAATAAATTAATAAAAAAGATATGGAATTTATGCAATTTATATGTACGCCATCCATAAGAGGATAGGTGTTATTGTCTCGGTTAGGGGAGTTTGTTTTTGTATTTTTTTGCATTCTGAACTTTTTGCATATATCACTTTTAAAATCTATTTTGTTTTCCCCATCTCACCTGCGGAAGTGGCCAAAAAAGGTCTGTTGTAAAAAAGATGGCTTTATAATTTGACTTGATTTTTCAAGTTTTAAATGATTTTTTATTCATATCAAGTAACTATGCTTTTGCCTTGGAATTTCGTGCTGTTTTCTCAGTTCGGGTAGCGAAGCTTCTTTCTCGGAATTTTTGCGACTTCATTAGGTAGAGTCTCCCTATATTAAAAAAAAATGACGGAGATTATAAATAGGATAATAATCAGTTAGTTAGGCCTTCTTCTGAAAAATAATTACCGTGCGCGTAGGGTAAGGTACAGAATTTTCTCGTTCGTTTGAACGCGACTTATATTAAACGCCGGTCATTATTGTGGCAATGACCTGCTCTTCCATTTACCCTGTTCAAGATAATAGAGAGATGAATTATAAGTACATCTAGGACGATTTTCCTTGCGGCCGGCATTTTCTGGTTTGTTTCTTATTTATGGCATCATCCATGACCTTACGGCTCTGAACGGATATAAAGCCTCACTTGTCGTGGCGGAAGTTGCCTTCCACGTAGACGGTGTTTTGACTAATCACGCAACGACGCGTGACGAGGCCCTAAGAATGCTTTCTGAGGAGGAACGCCAGTGCAGCTTGGGTTAAGGCAATCTATATTTTGTTCCCTTGCGGTACTTACAGTAGACGTCTTGTGTTTCCTGCTTTATCTTAGGTGAGTTAATTTGAACTTGCCAAGGAGTAGACCAGTCGCTCTGGAGTTTTCCAATCCACGAAGAAACTTCAATCTGATAGATTTTGTCGCAGTCAAGTGTTAATAGATGATATAATTTCGCCGAAGTATGCTCTTCCACCCGGCGTTCTGCTCTGTAGCCCTGTGGATTTATCACCCTAAAGCGTATGGTGTTCTTCGTAGTGGCACACACGTCACGACTCCATGTGAGGTTCACTGTGCAACCATTTATCTTGCTTTCCTTCTTGTTAATAACCGGAGTTTTCGGTGTGCCTTAGGTTCACAAAAAAATATATCGTCTTCAGTTGATTATTTACTTGTGTGTAGGCTACAAGGGATTCGGTTTAATTCTTTTAAAGTCCCTTATAAGAGTAAGACAACGAAGCATTACGATTTTGGCAGCGTCAAGTTGTATCAAGAGCGAAAACGACTCACTTCCGGTCGACGTGCGTCACTAAAAAACTCATTTGGTGAAAGTCCCTAATAACAACAGATTACCTTTGCTCAAGTCAGAAATCTGATTTGCAGACAAAGCAGTTTCGAGTACATGAAGGTCCATCAGTGCCCCAACGAAAGGTTTATTTACCAATGGCAACTTGAACAGGACTGGATGATTTCCTAACACATTTTCCGTCTCAAGATGGTCTGACGATAAGAAGAAGAACTCGTTCCATTGTTCCTTCGTTAAAATTTCTGTTCCATTTACAAACACCTTGATCTTAGACTCCTCACAGGTTATGGCAACATGATTCCATTCACTGATTGCAAAGTTTGCTTTTGCTATAGTGTTATGTATCGACAAGATGACACTGTAATTCTTTATTGCCGCGTAAAATAGTTTTCCGCTCACAGACCAAATCGCCATTAAAGGTCCCTCAATACCATCGGATTTAATCCAAAAAGCAATTGTAAAGTCGCAGTTTGTAATGTTTACTTTGGGCACAGTGACAAAGGAGCCTTTTTGACTGAAATACGCAGCTTTACTTCCAAGGCACCAACCTTCAGTGTAGTTAACCGCACCAAAAAATCTACGAAATGAAAATTAGAACAATTAATGTTTAAACACAGGCGGACCATCCAAACTGTTCGAGGCATCGTGATGTCACGCGCGACATGTGATCCCATACATTTCATTCAAGTGATCGGTAGAAATGCTTCACAAAACATAGAATTTTGCACCTTTTGATCCCAAATGTTGATATAATGGGATCACATGTCGCACGTGACATCACGATGCCTCGAACAGTTCGGATGGTTTGCCTCTGGTTTAAATCAATATGAAATATTAAGCTTAAAAGAAGCATACCACAAGAAATCTTTCAAAGTTTTTGAAAGCTACGAGAAAATGTGGAGGGACTCTCCTTTGATGCAAAAAGTGACTTGTGAATATCTATCAATGCATGAAGAACATTATCATGGATAAATCTTCTATGATCAAAGGCGACGATGATGACCATGAGTATTATTATTGTCATTATTATTATCATCATCATCATCATCATCATCATCATCATCATCATCATCATTATCATCATCATCATCATCCTCATCAAAATCATTACCTTCATATTTCTTCAATAGGTTATTTATATGTTATACTAACCTTACATCTGAATCAGAACCATCTAGGAACCAGTGCCCCAAATTTGGTGTCCCTAAGGAAAGGTCATTTGTCAGATTGACTCATGAAAGATTTTATTCTTTAACATTGAATCACAAAATTTACTGAATTATTCTAATGCTAAAGAGAATTTTTTTTTGTACATTCATTCTTTCGGTAGTTTAGCATGTATCATGTTGTAATTTGTCAGTTGTATTCGTTTGTTACTATTTTATCCATATTTCAAGGTAAACCTGTTATAACTGTTCGGAATTGATTGAACCCTCTTCATGAGTAGTTTCATATCTCGTAAACAAAATAAGCAACTGTCTGTCCCCAAATTTTCGTCAAAATGTATCTGAGATAAATGTAAACTGCTTGGGAGGGATACTTTGAATACTGAGGCCAATTCCGGTGTATTAAAATTCATACTTGGCTGCGGAGCTTGGTGACGAATAAAACAAGATGAATCATCTTGAGGTTCAGCAATGTATTATACATTTCTTTTGTTTTATTCCCCGAGCCCCGGAGCCAGGTATGAATTTTAATATATCAAAAGTGGTCTATTGAAAGCCATCTGTTCATTAATTACCTTTACATCCAAAGAGTTCTACCCTCATAGAGATGTGTTTATGCCAAGCGGTTGGTAGGAAACGGATGTACCGTGCTCTTATGAGTGGATTTAGTTTATGAGAAACAATGGTGTCTGGGTCTGTGTTGCCATCGAACACCTGAAAAATCCAGGTATAGGACGCACAAGTGTTAAATTCAGTCAATAAATTCATTTCTTGCTGCATTCCTCAAAGGAAGCGGGTTGCTAGACATAATTTTACTCTGACGAAAAGTGCACACGAGCAAAATATATACGTATTTAAAGGTTGCTGGAGAAATGCTAAACTGCTTTTTTTTTCACTTTGGCGAAGAAGAGGCCTCTCACCTTATCTTTACCTCGTCCTAGCTCTTTGTAAACATTGAACTTATCTCCGTTGTCGCTGTACTGTAATGTGTAATGTGTGACCCACTGGCTATTAGCATTTTCTCCTTGAGTAGCAATCTGTGCAACGAGGGTGCGCTTTTGACTGCCCAGATCTATCTGCAACCATTGCTTAACATTATTGGTATAAGGTGACCACGATCCTACTTTATTTGAAGTTCTTATAGCCTTTAGTCTGCCGTTGATGGCTGCATGCTCGGCATCCAGTTGCGAAGAAGCAATGACTTGCCCGTTGGAGATCTCTCCGTCTCCCATACCGAGAGCTTCTTCACATTCTATTGAATAAAAACAAACAACAACAGTACTCGTCTTGGCTGTAACATTAACCGATGCACCTGGGTTTGATGAATGTAAAAGGTAATGATGATGAAGATGATGCGGTCCAAGAGCCATTATGTTTCTTGTGTGGTCCTAATGATTGTAGCAATGCTTATCACCATGTTGTTGTTGTTGTTGTTAATGATGATGGTGATGATGACGACGATGATGATAATTGTGGTAATGGTGGTGGCAGTGTTGGTTGTAGCGGTGGTGTTAATTATTGTAAAACTAAAGGTTATTTATTTATCTCTAGTTATTTATATAATGATGACAATTAAAAACATGCTGTACAAACTTGGTATAAGGCGTCCGATTAACCTGTTGGAGGGTCATCTTGATCCACAAGCCCTAATCTGCAGAAGTCAATAGCTTTCGGTTTGGGTTGACAGCAATCCAAAAACTTGTAAACAATGGCTTATTTTTAAAGCTACAATTGAGGAGGGAAGTGAAACTTAAAATATCAAGATACAAACCATCACAAATGATGGTGTTGCCATCTTCAGTCCATGATCCACCAATCCCGCAACGAGAAGATGAAGGACCGCTGACTCGATATCCACGGGTGCAGTAAAAAGAGCAAATCTTTCCATGTGGGTGAGTTGGTAAAAGACAATCAGAAGGTGAAACACGCACATCATCTCGCAGTGAAGGTTTTCTGCACTTAGTTCCTTTTGAAAATATATATACCGAGTGTAAAAGAGAAGCAAAGTAAAATCCATTTCTTGCTTTTTACTGGGGGCTTATTTATTTTTGCTGGAAAAGTACTTTACAATGAATCTAAAATTACTTGATGATTGTGGAAACGTCGTGATAAGTATATGAGTGGGTCGCTCCAGTTGACTTTAATGGACCTAGCAATCAAGTACTAAAAAATTTTTCTGTCTTCTTTTCATTTCATATCTTTCAACAGGGTGGTACCCTTTTAAGATTCTTAACTGGCACCTCTATACAATACACACAAGCATAATCTGGAAAAAAATTCCACCGCTTCCAGTAACACATGAAGTTTTCTTGGAGTTACTTACCTGCCGATATTGTGCAAAGGTACTGATGGTGATGACGACAGTCTCTATTTTTCAGTTTTCCCTTCGAATTTATCTCAACACAATCTCCCTCGCCAGTCAAACTATCCAACTGACTGCGTAATTCATGACCGTAACTAGCTTGTGAACCATTGACCAAACCAACCCCACTTAAATTGTGACTGGGATTCCTGTGCAAACCAGTCCATGCGCTTTGTGTTAAAAATGAGCCGAGGGCATCTTGTTCAGCACGTGAATTCACTTTAGGAAGACTAGATTCAATTGCCTTACAGGCCGATTCTGCCGCGAACCAATCCAGTGCGTAAGAAGAGGCTCTGTAGCAAAAGCCGAGGATTTGAATCCAGTCCTGGGGGCAACCTGCAAAAGACAAATAGAGACTTTTAGATTCTAAGAGGAGTACGACTACGAGTACCAGATTTTTTCAATACTCAGTAGTGCGCGCGTGTGAACCAGCGTCATTTTGGCCGTACAGTCGTCGTCATTCTACTACGAGTTAGCGTGTTAGCGGACAGAAGTGAGTTATTATAAAGTGTTATCACAGGGTCCAGAGGAGAGGTGTTTGTCGTTAGAACATTAAAACCCGTCGAAAACCTCTGAAAAAATGGGTTATTTTGATCGCGTTACGGTTTCGTTACACATTCTATAGACCGCAAACCAAGAGACTGAGCGCTCGCAAGATCGGCTTACAGTATAAAATACGGAAAGCGAGGAAACAAATTTGGGGCCGATTTTCGAATCCCTGACTGACTCAAATGGAATTGAATGAAATCGCCTGATTTTACTAACCTGATCTAGAATTCTTATGTATTTGCCAAATACTGTAGGAAAACGGCATAAAAAAAGCGTCCAAATTCATTTTCGGCGACCGAAATTTACGGCTTCGAGATAGCGCTTTCGTTCGCTGTGCACCGCAACAGATGACGACGGAAATGACGTAGTAAAGTAAATGTGCTCAAGATCGGAGCAATAAAAGGGAAGCCTACACGACTTTTTCCTCATGCCAAAATGCTGCTCGTTCCAATAAAGTTTTTTTTCCTCTGCTGGGTAGATTATGCTCCGGAATATTCTACATTTTCACTGAGCGGATGTGATTTTAGCCGCATGTTTTACACTGAGAGGTCATGACACATATCAATTTACTGTTATTATTGTTTCTGGTCGGCAGGATTTGCCTCTGATACAAGCGCATTTTCTTTGACCTCTTTTGAAGCGTAAAGCTTTTTATTACGGCTGAATAAGTGTTCCAATTTTCTCCAAAGTGTCTTCTGGATCTGAATAACTAAGCGATTTTCTTCAGTCCGTGAATGTAATGTTTTTCTGCAATGCTGTATCACGCTGGGCCCAGCTCGTTAGTTTTGTTTGGAGAATGTTAAATTATTACGGATAGTGATTTATTGGTCGTGTGTACTCTTGCAATAAAAAGTGACACTGAGTAGAGCGGACGTACAAGACAACTGTAATATCATCACGACTGTGCCATTCTTCGGTGGTCCAACTATATATATTACCTCTTGCGTCTTTGGCTGTGCATTTTGCGATTACTGGGAAGCCTTCGCACAAGCAAAACCTGCTTAAGACATCGAAGACTGTTGACATGTACAACAAATGTCCAGTCTTAAAAGATCTTCACTTCAATTAAAACTCTGTTGCCTTCGCATAGATCTCTGAGATCTTTAAAACTCTCTCCGCAGCTGATGTTTTGATTCTCGAAATAGCAGCCGCGACTGTTGCTTTTGCGTTTCCGGTCTCATTCACTTCCGTCACCGAGTGATGCGGTTCACAGCGAACGAAGGCACGTGGTACAAGTTTTCTCTCTTGTCCTTTCTTTTACTCGGCACTTCGTGCCTCGGTTGCCCTTCGGTCACCCCTCGGGATCGGGCGACGTGCCGTGCGCCAGCGAGGATATGGCTTGCGGTTATTGATTTTCAAAAGTCGATCTGGGTCAGATAAGAAGCGAAGAAATCGTTTACAGTAGATTTATAAAGATCCCATTGGGCTAATTAATCGTGCTAAGCGACAGGTATAGACAAGGTGAGACTGTAAATAAGTTATTCGTTTATTCACACGAAACTCCTCTGGACCCTGAGGTGTTATAGGTTTTTTTACCTTGCAGCTGGGAGCTTAACCTCTTTCGATAAAGATAACAGCGCTAATTTTTTGGGTGAAAGCGATGTAGAATGAAGCTATTCCCGGTATCCATTATTTGAGAATACGCGAAAAAACTTTAAATGAAATCTCGTACTCGTAGTTGTTCTCGCCCTACAATCTAAAGGTCTCTAGTATTTCTGAAATGAACGAATATTATCATAAGCAGAGGAATCAAAAGTTGTTGTCGCTAGAAAAAAAAAAAAGATTTTCGTTTTATTATAATACAAGAAGTCTACCGGGAAATACCCAGATTTATTGCGATCTTAGATAAACAATTTACAATTTACTTTACTTTTTGATTGTACTTATTATCATAGAAAGTTGTGTTACCGTTGATTTCACAAACGTAATAATGAGATTTCCCACACCCTCGGTCATTCCATTTTCCTATGTGAGGGTTCATTACTACACAATCTTCGCCACTATTTCCGTAATTGTTTGGCTCTCCACTCAACCAGTGGCTATAAAATGCGGAGGACCCATCAACCCATTGCCAGCGTGAACTGTTCCTGAGATCCCTCTGTAAACCAATCCACGTCTGCCCATTTGTTCTTTTAATGAGCTCTTGTATTTTAGCCAGTGAGTTCAGAATAACAAGACTTGATCCCAGTTCTTCGCAGGTTGCCTTTGCTGAGTTCCAGTCCGATTCGTTGGAAGATATTTTGTAGCAAGAACCATAAAGGCTTGTCCATCCTACTGGACAAGGCGCTGAAACATATAGTCAAAGTAAAGCTTATTCAATAGGTGGCCTGAGAAAACAGCCAACATTTCGCGACCCCAGCACTGGTTTCTCCGTAAGATGACGTCTAATGGATGAGTGAAAAAAATTTCATACGTGTACCCAGGTCTTGGTAGTGCTTCTAATTAGTTGTGCCTTAGACTGCGAGCAGTCTCTTATTCTTGGTTTGAGTCACAGCAGTAGGTCGAGAGCACGGGTGAGTCTAGATGTGCCGCGAAATGTTACTAATTAAAACCAATCAGAGGCACTACCTAGATCTTGCGATGGAATCAGTGTGAAATTTCCGCAGTCGTTCCTTACACTTCATTTCGCAGGGAAACCTGGGAGGTCGCAAAATGTCGGCTGTTTTCGCTGGTGTTTCCATACGTAGCCGTCCCCTTTTTAGAGCGCAATCTTAAAATAACACTGAAGTTTTTCCTTGACAATTATACTCGCCCGCAAAGACAATTTGTCATTCTGTCATCTCGGTTCACTTTCATTGGACAAAAGGTCAAAGCCGAATTTTCCCTTTGGTTATCATATTAATTCTCCTAACCTTTTTCTCTTGACTTTTTTTAACATATATATTCAAGGATGTTTTGTGCCTGTTCTGTGTTCATTCATAAATCACTGATGACGTCAAAATGTGGTAAAAGCAAAAGAGGGGAAAACGAGCCCTGAGCGAGTACTGATGTTTAGGCATCTTGGTCTCGATTTTTGCCCTTTTTAGTTGTTAACCGAAATAACCGTGTTTATAAATTTTCAAAACCGCTCGCCATGTTGGAGAAACACTGTAAATAAGTTTCCCGTGATGTGTCTGGACTCTAATATAAATTGGCATAGTATTATTGATAGAAGATTGTTATATTCACTTACCAGGCATATTTACATCGTCCGTAAAGAATATCTCAAATCCTTTTTTGTTAGGATCAAAGTTCTCGTTTGAATGAAATGTTAACACCAGATAGTCTTGTGAAACAACAATAACTTTTCCCGTTAAATTACCGCAGTAATGGCCGATGAGATGATTACCATCTGAAATGTTCAAGTAGTTAAACCTGCAAAGGAAACAATCAATATTTCACGAGTTTACATTAAACAAATTCATTCTCTCTGCTCCTTTACAGTGCAAATAAACATTAAGCCGCACATCTTTGTCCGAATGTATTGAGTGTGGTGTCGCACAAGGATCCAGCCTTGGATCTTTACTTTTTGCTTTCTATGTTGCACCTCTTTCAAGAAGTAATCATCAAAACTTTATTTGCATGCTCTATGCTGACGAGTGTCAAATTTTGTTTCTAGAAACCCTAACAACTCGAATGATGATGTGAGTGTGTTAATTATATCGGAGCATACTTTTTTCATGGAACACTATAAGAACATAGGCTCACGAGTAACCGCTACACTTCACTTCGAGATTTAGAAGGCAACCATCTTTTGGTGGAAGCATCACGTTTGTAGAACCTTAAATTGACATTAAAATGACAGCTAGAAAATTAAGTGTCCTCATTGATAATAATTTGTCATTTAGCGCTCATACCAATGAAAATTGTAAAAAAAAAAAATAGTTTCTCAATAATACTACGTTCTCTAACAGATTGTATGGAAAATAGGCTCTAACCTGCATTCTGGATCAATTGCCAGGTCAAATATTTGAAATACAAGCTTTTGCAGCTTGCCATGTGGAACTGATATATTGTAGACGCAGTGCATATTTGGTGGATAACTTTGTACGTATACAGGGGATCTCACAATATTATTCATCGCTGAACCGCATAGGTCTGTTGAAGAAAGTGAGAGATTATCGGAACGTCTTTTGCATTGCCGCAGTTACGTTTGGATTATTATTGTTTCTGCCACAGAGTGCAGAGGAGTTATCTGTGACCTTGATTGTTGATTGTAGTTAAATTTTACAGTTTTTTAGCGCGCATCGCCTTTTACTTCTACTGTTAAATCAAGTAGAACACCATTTTGACCTGGTAAAATATTATCCAATGTTCCGGAATACCGCTGAAGCTGATGACTGTGAACGTATAAAACCAGCTAAGTTTTTCTTCTCGACAATTCTTGCCTCCCTCGAAGGCTTCGCTTTTAAATGCGTTGTCCTTTGGACGACGTTCCTTTCCACCAAGCATTAGATAATATTTTATCAAGTTTGTAACGCGAGCGCATGGCGTTTTCATTGTTTAAATTCATATTCGATTCTCCAGTAAGCAAAGGCGGATCTTGCTCAGTAAAATTTAACTGCAATCCATCCTCGGAGACCCAGGGGCAGATAGTGGGGGCGAGGGAAAGTCTAAACGGGCGGCAAAATATGGCACGAAGAAAAGTAAAGAACGGCGAGAAGAGCCCCTGGGGACAATGTCTTAGCAGACTAGTTTCAAACGGTCGCCGCCGTTCTGACTTCTGATTGGTGCCAGAAAACGTTTGTGTTTTTCTGCCCAATCAGAAGGCAGAACGGCGGCGACCGTTTGGAACTAGTCTGGTAAGACATTGTCCCAAGGGGCTCTTCTCGCCGTTCTTTACTTTTCTTCGTGCCATATTTTCCGCCCGTTTAGACTTTCTCTCGCCCCAACTATCTGCCCCTGGGTCTCCGAGGATGACTGCAATCAAGTTCAAAAATAACTCCTTTGCGGTCCATGTTTCAGTCGCTATCTAACGCCTGTGATGCAGGATACACAAACTGTTTAGCTACTCCACTGGCTCAAAGTATAACAACAGTTCTAGCCCTCGAACTTAGAGCAAGTCGATACACCCATCGTAGTGTGTGTGTTTGTTAGGGTAAGTCGGGGAAGGGCATTTGTTAGGATTTCGACGTGTTTTGACATTTTGCAACTTGCGTAAACTTTTAACAGTAAGCAGTTGTGACAATCCCTACAAACGGCATACGTGATGTGTAAAATATCGCCTCTGGGGATCTAATACTTCATTTTAAATAATAGCCATCAGTTTAGATAGCGTCCAGACTTTGCTTATCCAGTAAAATCGAAGGGCTTCTGCTTGCGTGCAGAGTAGATTAAAATTGAGGATTATTTCCCATACAATTGAATTACGCTTGGGTCCCTCTGCACTTACCACTTCGTGGCATTTCACTGAAATGCAATCTGAATCCACGCTTTTCTCTCGTAAAGTTTTTCGAGTGGAATTCAATCATTGTGTAATCCCCGGCAACCATCACTGCCAAATTGGTCTTTAAATTATCGCAGTATCTGCCAATCAGAACTTTGCGTTGATGGTAAATGCTCAAATAGTCCCTCCTACAAGAAAATTAAGTGTCCAAGCCTGTTTATCTTCCAAATAATAAAGAAGCCTTTCCTTTAACACTGACGAAGAAGTTTTATAGTGGGTACATTGAAACAGTAAAAACACCTTGGTTCTTCTAGAAAAAGAATCAATGCGTTATGGTTAATTGGTTATGACAATAAAACTCTGGAAAATGTTCAAGCTAGAATAGAAGCTGTTTTCAGCAAACTGTTTCAACTAAACTGTCAGAAGAAACAGTTTTTTTGGAAGCAGAATAACAAGCGTGCTTGAATATTTGCTTAAAGGTAAATACCAATGAAAATTCACGCCCCTCTTGGCAGACGGGTGTGTTCTAAATTCAACCTTGTTTCCAGGGTCCTCTCCGCCACGGGGGCCGAGTAGGAGAGGACCCTGGGAACGAATTTGTTCTAAATTAATAACCCCAGCTCGCAGGTGTCTTTTTCTCTTTACCTAATATTTAACTATTTACCTTTTTTGTTTTCGAAAAGAAGGTCTCAGTAAGATGTCATAACATATTTGTTTATTTATTTATAAACTTTGCCAAGAGGCCTGGATTACTCACAGAGCAAACTCCACTACAATACATTATAAATAAATTTTGGATTCTTTCATAAATTATGCGTACATATGCAGGTAAGTAAAACGAAGTTTATATTTCTGTGGAGTATTATCACATGACCCAAAAGATCCAAGCCTTAGAGCTGTCATTGTCAAATGAACAAAAGAACTGTGCGCTTCACCCCAATGGGACTTTGAAAAATGCTCACTAAGGGGAAGTGCCCGTTGGCAGAAGTTAAGCTCTGTAGAACTGATTTCCGGTGGATGTGACTCAAGGACCCATAATTTTCAGAAAACATTTAAATCGCCTACCAACAATCCCACCAAGGTTCTATGTCGAGTAATGCAAAGGTGACTTTCAAAATTTTTCCTTTTGGAATTTCCCAAGTCCAAGTACAGTTCATGTTTTCTGGATAGTAGTTCGGATATCCTACGCTTGAAAGTGTAGTACTGTTTACCACTGAACCGCATGCTGCAGAATTAAATGCACAATTTTTAATCATATTGCCTTCCTTAGTAATAATTACTAGTCGAATTAAAACATCAGCATCTTAATTATTAGATCATATCTTACAGTTCTCATATGGTTTGCCCTGGCTTGAATGAATCGAGAACCTTTTTACTACCGGTTTGGGGTCATCGTCGGTGTAAAAACCTGTGAAATTTTTTTTCTTTGTTTTCTAGCTGCAGAAATGAATACTGTTGAAACTAAACCGGCATCTGCTATTTTGCTTCTGAGAGTATTGCATTCACAGTTACATAAATTTGGTAAAATAATATTCAAGTGTAACATTATGATTCAGTTAAAACAGAAAAGGAACTTATTTTCTCTCTGGAAAATGCAAATTTTAATAACATGGCTGTTGAAACGGTTGTCATAGTAACTTCATAGTTGACTTACATGTCAAGATAACTTTGAATAGGGTTAAGCGATCAAAATTATCGTTGCTATTACTGTAGGTATCAGATTTACAGTTTTGCTTTGGCTTTTTACGCTTTGATCGTATAATCTTAAAAAATTGTATTACCGTTGCTTTCACAAACGTAAGAATAAAACCTCCAACACGCTTTGTCATTCCATTTTCCTACGTGAGGGTTCATTACTACACAATTTTCTTTACTATTGTAATTGTTTGGCTCTCCACTCCACCAGTAGCTAAACAAAGCGCGAGACCCGTCAACCCATTGCCAGCCTGAATTGTTCACGAGATCACGACTTAAGCCAATCCACGTCTGGCTATTTGTTCTTTTGATGAGCTCTTGTATTTTAGCCAACGAATTCGGTATAACAAGGCTTGATCCTAGGTCTTTACAGGCGGACTGTGCTTTGTACCACTTCAGTTCGTTGGAAGATATTTTGTAGCAAGAACCATAAAGGCTGAGTGTCCAGCCTACCGGACAAGGCGCTGAAATATACCGTCAAAGTACCAATTCAATACCTTATTCTTACAATGTACTAATTTTCGCGAGTATCAAATTTCGCGATTTAAATAATTCGCGAAATTTAATACGCGCAAACAAAAGATTGCACGAAATTTAAACACGCGAAATTTAATACCATTTTCGAAAACAAAGCAGTAGGAATTTTTAAAATGTCATGAGTCCGGGTGTTTTTTTAACTGTGGGCACTTACTGAACATCTCAAGTTGCTTTTCAAGCACTGAACTGTATGATATACATTGCATAGACAAAATACACAGCAAGCAGTTATGTTTTGCCTTGTTCATAAGGTTTTATATGGGGCAGTTTCAAGTTTACAATCTTGCTTTGAAATATATATGTTTTATTGATTTGTCATACGTGCCCTCTGCTCTAGTCTCCTTCGCAGCCGTTATTAGCGTTGCGTGACGAGTGACGACCCTAATAACGGCTGCGAATGAGACTACCACTGCTCAGGATTGACGAAAATAAAAGCAAAGACAAAATTGCGAAATTAAGTACGCTTTTTCTCTAATTTGTTTTTGTAATCGTGAAAATTAGTAGTCGCAAAATACGGATCCCGAATATTCGCGCAATTAAGTAAACGCGAAAATTAGTAAGAATAAGGTAGGTAGCCTGAGAAAACGGTCGACTTACCACACCAATGGTTTCCCTGCGAAAGGAAGTCTGAGGACCGACTGTAGAAATTCCACTATACTGGTGACGTGTCACTTAGCAGAACAGGGTAGTGCTGCTCATTGGCTGAAGCAAATTTCGTTTGTGACAACCTATCATAAAGCACTACCCAGCTCTGAGTAGTGACAGGTACAGGTAAACAGTGTCGAGTTTCTGCAGACGTCATTTAGCTGGAAAACCAGTGGTGAATTATGAAATGTCGGCTGTTTCCTCAGGCAATTCAACACGTAGCCGGTCCTTTTTTCGTGATAAATCTCAAAATAAAACTGAACCTTTTCAGTCGTTTCCTTTACCGTTATACTCGCAGACAAGAAATATTCAGGGAAACTCTGCGAACACATTCTACACTCTGAATTCTTTTCGTTTTCATTTGTGATAAAAGATCAAAGCCGAATTTTCCCTTTTTTGTTCATATTAATTCTCACAACCTTTCTGTTAACTGTTTATTGATACAGTATAGATGTAATATAGTTGATTTTTGTATTCACTTACCAGGCGTGTTAACATCTCCCGCAAAAAATATTTCAAACCCTCTTTTGTCAGGATCAAATATCCCATCTGAGTGAAATGTCAGTACCAGATAGTCCCTTGAAACAAAAATAACTTCTCCAGTTAAGTTACCGCAGTATCGTCCAATAAAATTATTACCATCTGATATGTTCACGTAGTCGAATCTGCAAAGGAAATGTTCCGCATTTACGGGTTGGCAATAAACAAATTTCAAATGCTAATTCAAATTAAGGCTTCTGTTCAGAATACTGTCGGTGGTTTTCCACTTAAAAAAACGACGGCTGTTAAATTTCCTGAACTTCGCGTTTTCAGGGGAACGATTGGAATCGTAAGCCACCCTCCCTGTCACCAAAAATAGTTTACGTGTTCGCAAATGATCATTACATTCTCCGTCTTTTTTCTTTCTTTATTTCATTGATTGATTTATTGACTCATTCGTTCGTATATATAGACAAACATCTTCTATGCCGAAGATAGTCAAGTTTATGCATCTATTAACCTTAAACACTCGAATAATGATGTTCATGTTACCCTTAAGCTCCAGCAATGTGCATTGCTCCTCACACCAATGAAATATGTAATAAAGCTACTCTGCTGATGACATCAATCCGAAGCATGCGAAAATTATTTTCTTTCGTATAACGGACTTAAAATGTCATATCTCGATCAAAAAGTCTCTTGTAAGGCATACCTAAATGGGATACTTAAAAAAAACTAGCTTCATTTGAGAAGAGGATTGAATTGAAGATTTTCCTAAAAGAGAAGACTGCAGACTAAAGTCTCAAGTTAAATACTCTGTCGCCAAAGAGCTACACCTGAGAACTAGAGATAGTACTCTCACCTGCATTCTGGATCAATTGCCAGGTCAAATATCTGAAATACAAGCTTTTGCACCTTGGCATGTGGAAGTGATATATTATAGACGCAGTTCATGTTTGGTGGATAACTTTGTACATATACAGGTGATCTCAGTATATTATCCATCGCTGAACCACATAGCTCTACCAAAGAAATTAAAAGATAATCTAAAAGTGTACGTTTATTTCTCTTCTATTGTAAGTGCGTACATTTTTAATTATTTGCTCATATATTATTACAAATATAGCAACGTTTATTTTTGCAAGAAAAAAAGAGCAAGACAAAACAAACAACAACTTTAACCAAAAAAAAATTAAAATAAGCTTGAATTGCTTTTTTCGTTTAAGTCGAAAAGGGAAGGTGCCAGTTTCAACAAACGTTTTTAAACTGCTTCCGGTTAAAAGTTACAGCATCCGGCATGCCTTGTGACCTCACGCCTATCCTGGCCTCCATCTTGACTTGACTTGCCACTTGTTTTTTCCTCTCTGCAGTCCCTTCCCATAGGGTCACCGGGAATGCCATCTCTTTTTTTTATTTGTTCAACTTTTTTTTAGCATTGAAGTCTTAAATTCATTCCTTTGTGCAAAAGAACCGTCCGATCTTTCAGAGACCTTTTAAAAAACTTACTTAACGACGTTGTTTCGTTCTAGCGCTATTGCCCATATATCTGATACTTAAATTGTGAAATTTACATTATTGTTCCAAGCGTCTCAAATAAAACTTATTGCGCTACGTTAAACTGAACTCTTTGTCATTGTCTGACTTATCTTTTGGACTGGTAACTACATTAAACAGTAGCGGGACATGTACCGCTGTATCACTATGTCACACTTCTTACCCAGAGTTGTCTTGCTATTATGTTCTACTCTGGTTTCCTTATGGTTAACTCCATTATGATTAAGCTTACTATGAAGTCTGCAAATGTCAGACGTCGTCTTTCAAAAAGATACCCCTTTCGGGCGGAGCCCCCCTACTTCACTTGTCAAGACCTCACGAAACTATTCATTTCGAGAATAGAGATGAGAAGTCGTTTACGTCATGTTGCCATGGTAGCAAAATTTTGGAAGACAACAAACCGATGAAATCACTTAAAAGTCTATAAACACTATTTCAAACTTCACCGATCTTATTCAATTTCACTTAATTTGGCAAATCTCGGCGAAGTTTTCTTTGGAACTGTCTCTATTGTTATCTAAGTGTAGAAAAAGAAAGCGACAATTTTTGTGTTATGTTCACCTACTCCAAGCGGGCTTGCGAAATTAGGAAGTTTCAAGTGGTAGTGTGCAATGAAGGAAAAAAAATGTACAAAATAGCGTGATGCACGTGCAAAGTTGTTGTTTGTTAATATAAACATATTATTTTTTGCTGTTCTTCTTGCCGTCGCCGTCGTCGTTGGTTTTGTGCTACCATGGTAACGTGACGTCACACTTCCCAAAGAAATTGATATATTACGATGTTGTCCCTTGACTGCACTTACCATTTCGAGGTAACTCACTGAAATGCAATCTGAATCCACGCTTTCCTTTCTTAACGTTTTGCGAGTGGAAATTAATGACTGTGTAATTCCCGGCAGCCATCACTGCCAAATTGTACGTCAAATTACCGCAATATCTGCCAATCAGAACGTTGCTTTGATGGTAAATACTCAAATGGTCCTTCCTACAAGAAAATAAAAAATCAAGGCCTGTTTATCTTTCTTCCAAATAATAACGAAGCCTTTTCTTTAACACTGACGATGAAACAGTAAAGACTTCGTTCTTCTGCAAAGGAAGAAATCGGATTTTTTGGTAACAACCGTGCTTTGATAAACTGCGCAAGATGACATATTATATTTGTTTTGTTCTCGCATTTTTCCCACACAAGTCCGTAACTGGTCTTTTTTTAGATAGCTTTGTAAATAACTATTATTGCGTTTTAACGTTGCAGGCAAGTAATTAAGCTTCCTCGCTTCCACTGCAGGAGTATCTAACTACTCCTCTGTTAGATTATTTACGTCCATCACTTTTGTCAACGATTATTTTTCCATGAAAAAGTAAGGGATGGTCTTTCTTGTTAGACTTTGTCTTGCCGAATTAATATACAAAATTGTTCAATGACTTGACCGTTTGAAAGACCATAAACTTCTGGAATATGTTCAAGCGAGAATAGAAGGTGTTTAAGAGTTAAGGTAGAGTGGTCACCTCCACTGTTTTGATAAACTGAAGCCTGTGCACACAACTCCCCTCCCCTCAGTAAACACAGGCTAGATAAACTATTGGAAGAAAAGTTACACGAGAAGCATAATAGCAAGTATGTCTGGATATCTGCATAAAAGAAAAAATGAAAATTCAGTTAAGAATACACGTCTCTTGACAGACTGTCAAATTCGCAGGTGACATGGTCTGTTTAATGAGTCTTTTCTTAAGCAGCTTTTGCTCCTCTTTTCGTAATAGGCCATTTAGACTAAGAGGTCATGTGATCATTTTTATGAAAATGAGAGTTAAATGATCTTCCCTTCTTAAAACTATTAGTGTGTCATATCTTAAACAAAATAATTGTGATCTAATTTTTCAAGCCCGCACCATTTTCTTAAAATGAGTAAGTTCGTAGCTGGTCACGTGACCAAAATGTGATTTTTA